TCGCTTTAAGTGAAAAAAATACCATGTTAAAAAATACGCTATTTGATGTCTCAGTATTACTATAGTTTTCCAAAAAATTCCATTCTTTAACTGCAGCCACAGTTGGCGCAATCATCGTCAACCATATGGTTCCGCAATGCGACCAACTCACTTTCACAAAACGACAGCAATTGTAAAGTATCTAGCGCGTCCTATTATCTGTAGCCAACCAGTCTGCCGAACATCATGAAGAGGCACTTTTTCAGTCGGGCCCAATTTTGCTTTCCGTATTTTCGATTCTTTCCAATCTGTGAATTCTGTTCATATCAATCACACGGATAAGTCAGTCGCCCTAGACGTGATGAAGATGACATTGGCAGTATCAATCGACAATGACAAATGATTACTACGATAAAATCGAGAAGAGGTAAACCGGGGAAATCGCTGTTAGCACTATTCTGCTAATAGACCTATGAGATTTGAATTTTCGCGCCATCGCTGGTCTGAGCATTGAGACCGAAAAGATTATCTGGCGTTGACTGACAGTGGTGTAATTACGTATTATTTCTAATGCTGTTGTTCTTGCCATTGTTCGATGGATCTAACATACGATTCGTCCTTCGAATCTTATGAATAAGCTTGCGCAGTTAATGTGAGGTGTCTGCAAAAAAACAAGGGGTATTGTATTTCACGAGTAAACACGTGCAGGATTTCAAAATGTGACGTAAGCATGAGCGGGATTTTTATTAGGAATTAAAAGTGAAAAAAAAAAGAGAATTTAATATCTGGTAGGGGGTTCTCCCTGCCTCGGGCAGAAGTAGAGCCGCTTCAAGAATGCATTATGAGCAGTTTTTGGCGTGCGTGTCCCACCGACAGTTTTAGTGGTGGCAATGAGCGAAGCGCTTTAACAAGCAGTTGCAGCATCGACGGAATTAATTGCTCACCGATTTAATCGGCAATTATTGATACAGAGATAATTAAGGCAGTCGTTTGTCTCGTTTACTTGTGTGTACGTTTTTGTGCGTATCTATGGGCCTTTATAGGTATTCGCAGTTAAGTACTTTGCCTTATAATCCTTACTATTGTTATTATATGAAGTAACAATCGTTGAATTAGCGTCGCGAACCAGTTATACTATAGTTATGCTACATCATATTTTGATAGCAGACATATTTAAAAGAAAGACGTCCTCTTATCATCGATCGGTACATTACATTAGTCCTACGGATAATTTTTGAATCGAATTCATTATGCGTTACTCATACGTAACGAAATATAGAATTCGATGCGAAAGTAACAGAACGGCAGCTTTTTTTTTCTTTTAGCAACAAGGTAGCTAATAATTTTGTTTTGTAACACAAACGAGAATAATTGATTATCTTTGTTACGAGACAGGTAACTGCCAAGAGATATTCCCCTTGTGTAATCATGAGGTGGTTATGTGGGTATTTGGACAAAATGTTCACCTCAAGAGAAAACATAATTCCTTATGACATTTGCTTACATCATATTTGGCGGCACGTAACAAATAGGTTAACGATCACTGGATAAGCCGTTACATTAAATGAGCTTCAAATAGTTTGAACCGGCGGGTCAAGCAGTTTCTTAAATTACGTTTTCTTTTTGTCGTCATGGCTCTACAACGTCTTTTCTGTAAAAGTCGATGAAACTATTGCCTTGTTCCAAAGGATACTACAAATAGCTGTTTTACAGTATCAATTCATAGAAGCATATGGTTGCCTGAACACACAAAAGATGCGGACGAGACAAATGATCTAGCAGTGTAGAACCGAAATAATCCATAAAGAATTAAAACATCCACTAGAGTATGGGGTAGGATCTACTAGGCAAAGAGCGGGCGGCGCGCTTCAAAACAAAATCAGTACTAGTATTGATTGACTGGAGCTTGTCCAAACGAACTGTTCTGCACCGCTCTCTAAAAAATGACTTGAGAAAAGCGTTAACTTTTTAATTTATACACACTTTACGTTATACTGTTAAAAAATAAGACATACGATCATGCAGGGTAGCAACGTATGAAGTGTAACATAACTTCTAACGCATGACGGTATGGTATAGGTAATAGACGTAATGCTTACGACTTAAGACTTGGTGCTAATACGACTGCAAACAAAACGATCTATATATCCCAAATATGATGCTTGATATCACGCTTTTTTGAACAGTGACAATAATTTTCGTTGGGCTTGTATTAGAAAAGGAATCGAGACTGTTTTTTCGCAATTGAGAGGGGCCCGTCTAGCTACAACTATCATCAAATCCGAATAATTGTTAGGTCACACGAAATTTAAAGCTGTTTTGGAAACTTCTACGACGACACATTTGAATTAGATATTCTGAAACATGCGTAGTTGGCGGCCTGCTTTGTTGTATCTGTCAACCATGATTTCCTCAAATCAACAATGGCCGAAGAAAGCTTTGTTTGCCGCAATAGAGCGGAAGGTAGCTGGTGATGGCTGGCTTATACTATTTGCTATATAGAACACTTTCCGACCGCGTTTTTCTAGAGTAGTGTTTTGAAAGAGCTGGTAAAGAAGCTGAAAGTCGAGCAACCCAGTCCTGGAACAATGCTAGGGATGCGTCAAAACTGGGGCAGTTCGTGAAGAGGCAGTTCGAAAACAAAAAAAAGATATATCATGCGAAAGCTCAACAGTTTTACATTGAACAAAACCATAAAGTTGTAAGCATAGAATAAAGTAAAAAATCAGCAAACCACAAATGGTCTAGTTTGAAACGCTTTCATCTGGTGCAGAATAAACATATTTATGTCGTAAACTTTATGATAATAAACCAACAAACAGTATTTATGGCGCATGCCTGTATGATACTGTCTAAATGTTTCAAGTTTTACATACGGCACCACCGTCATAAGTTCCATCAGTTGCCTGGCTGCCAGCACGAAACAAAATGTGTCAGCCTTCGAGCGTATACCGCCTCATGTTCCTAAGATTAATAAACGAAGCTATCACGGAGACCCCTTGGTATCGTCTAGCAAACCCGAATATATAACTGCACGCACTGCAATTGTTTTAATTATTGTGAAGAAGGTTTTTCTATTTGACGGATGTGTTCGCAAATACAAAAAAAAAACCGTTTTCAAGGGTGTAATAAATACATGCTTGAATTTGGCGACTTGAGTTTTCGTCTTTAAGGGGTTACAAAGTGGAGTATTGTTCTACGAAGTTTTTACGGATACCCTTTATAGGTATCACCTTACTTTTTGTAAGTTTCTTTCGCGGAGTTAAATTTCGTGGAACCTGTTCATGTGTCCTGTAACCATGCATTCATTCAGCTGTAAGCCATCTTGTACTTTTGCCCACGGCAAAACGCCACAGCCCTTTCGTTACTACATGCGACCGTGGTCAGGTGTACAAAGGCTACCTGCCATAATAACGCCAACTGACACCTGCCCTATTTCATAAAATGTCTACGTCACGGTAGTTGCTACATTTCAAAAGTGTCAAGGGTATTTTTGAATTACAAGCATAAAGAGCTTTAGCGATGATGCGGATTTAAGTTGCGTTGGGGCTTGCACCTGCCGGTACCGGCAATCATTTTGGGCAAATAAGCTTAGCTGAGGCGTGACATTTAGTATATGAAGCAAATGTAGCAATGTTCCTACGTAGAGCATCGCTCACTATTGAATTCAATTATGTTATCAGATTATAATGAATTAAACATTTTTTACGTGTGTTCGTAATTTATTAATGGCTTATTTACATTGACAAACTTGAAATATTTATCTGAGTTGGCGATATCGAAACATAGTTATTGAGTGGGTTATATTTCAAGTTATCTATTTTGAGCAACATATTTGTGTGTATGGGAACGTCTTTGACTTCGTTGTTACATTATTAGAAAGTTGAACGAACGAGAATGCATGGCTTCCGTATGGACTATGAGAACTAAGCGTTCTTATTTTCGTATATATGTGTATATACACGTGAGTTACTAGAGTAAACAGAACTTAAGCTGTGACAGCACAAGGCCAAACCCTAATCACTTTTTACCCCAAGAACCTTCACGTGGCTGGTAAATTGGTCGATCGAGTACTCATCGCAGCCTCACATTTAAAACACAATAATTATAACTTTCATCGTTAACATCGGTAGCCCGGGAAAATCCGGGCGCACCAGTGGCAAAAATAATTAATGATGTGTTTTGTTTTAATAGTGTCTTTCTGTTTATTTCATTCTTTATTATGGTTGTATTTATCTTGTGGTAGCATTTTTGTGCTATTTAGTTGCAATCAAGTATTTCATTTTTTAGCGTCGTCTTTTTTGCTTCGTTCCATCCATGCTAATTTGGTCGATTCCTTTCACTCGTCCGCTCCCCTGAATCCGATAAACATTATTATACACGACTGTATATGATGTACATAATGTAACAGTTCTCCTTTTTCTGTGTAATTTAGATTAGACTCTCATTTATCAGAGTGACGTGGCACCGACCCGGTCACTGGAAATTGCCAGCGAAAAAGTCGGGTCGGGCTGAACAATAAAGCCGGCACCGAAACAACAGATTAGATCCGACCTGTGGGTCTTTGGGTAAACTCCAATAAATGGGGCCCTTCCCACAATAGGTATTATTATAAATTGAAAGGAAAAACTGATTACCAATAGAACAGAATTTTATCAGATTAATAGTGCCCGTTGTAGTTATGTGGGGTAAGTACAGCGCTTTAACGGTCTGCACAGTGAAGTACATCTTGACAAAAATGCGCCAGCGCTGATAGCCGCCCGTTCCAACACAGAACGAACCGTGTGCTTGCGCCCTAAATTACTATGTCCTACACTACCTTATCATGTCTTCCTAAGTTTAGTAGGCAGATGCGTTATTCTACCATTGCGTAGAAAAGCGTCCAAGTTTGTCAAACCGAAGAAGGATCGATACGGAATACAGAAAATTCCTGAACGTATTTACGCAACACGTTGCGCATAATATATTGAAATTAAAAAGGTTTTTTAACTTTCATATTGTTATCTGTATTTGTACGGAAATATTTCCGACTCTTTATCCATATTATTATTATTATTGTTATTACACCGAAGACAACAAAAATTGATGTGGTTCAGTTAAAGACAATTGAACTTAATGACTACCGTCATATAACATCTAATATGGAAATTTATTTATACAATATTATCAAGCGTTAAATTTGTACACGTAATACACACAACGTTAGCAATTAATCTTCGCTCTATTTAACAGTTCGCTCACCGCTAAAACACCCGTTATCATCTAGGGACAAGCAATGTACTAAAAGCCTAATAAATAACCAAGCAGGAATGTTGAAGTTTCCGCGATTTGATTTGCATCTGACGTACGAATTCTGCGTCTATGATTTATTCGCTCTGTCATTGCCTTCCTCATCTGTTCCGTTGTCCGTTCCCATAACGGATTGATCTATCTGACTGTTATCGTGGTAGCGTGGCGCCCTACATAAGATCATTTTTCTATATGAGTGTCGGCGAAGTTCATTGGTACCTCACAACAAGATTATTGGCAATATCTTTTCTGCAAAGATTTTATAGAGGCACACGACCACAGCTCTTGGTTTAACTGGCTTAAGCAGCGTTTCCTTGTGGCAGTTTCATTGGGATAGAGGTTTGATAGATTCAACACACAGATAGGGGCCTGGAAGTGGACGGTCAGATACGGCAAAATCTAGAGCCACTAAGCTTTTTATTATTGCCAATATTTTACATTCTGAACCTTAACACAAAAAGTTCCTAAATGAAACGTCCCTAGCTGTTACCACCCGTCACCATCTATTGTCAAGGTGTTACTCAATAATGAAATTCGGCAATATTTGTCTTGCACGAATAAAATCAAATATTTATACGTGTATCTTGCTACTTGAGGAGGATTTTATTAACTACGATAACACATCCAGATTTTCTAAAAGATATCTCGAATACAATGAACAATGAAAAGGCGTTTTTGAGATTGATCTATTATTATTATTATTATTATTATCATTGTTATATTTAATGATTAATTATCGATTTGATTTCCAGATAAATGAACATATCATAGAGATTTCGACAACACTTGCACACCAATCGTATTTCCCGCCAAGCTGGTTAATCAAATTATTTCATAGACCATTTCAAAGATTTCATGAAATTCAAAGATTCTCTAAACCTTTAAAAATTGCATGATGCATTTGACAGCTTTAAACCTAAACGCGCCAACTATACAAAGTTATATATGTATATGGCGTATTAGGTTCCGGAATAAGATGCGATTAATTGCAAAATTGATTACACCGAATGGAAATTTGTCAGGTGAGAGGAACATATGATTCGCGTAAGAATAAAACTGGCATCAGTGTTAGATTAAGGAAAAAAAATACCGCGCTTCTTTTGCTGCATAGAAAACACCACGTTTTCCATTCCCGTCATAATATTATTATGTTATGCATCTTCCGTCATGTTGACGATGTGATGTGAAATGATGTAAATCGTCTCACCAGAAGGTGCCGAGTTTCATTTAATTTTCTAAGTTTTCTAAGAGTTGTTGACTTGTGTCAAGGGAAGACTAAGAAAGTGATTGCTCAGTAAATGAAAACGGTGAAAATCCATTGGTGTAAACTTTAAAGAATATTCAAATCCCAAGAAAACCTACTCAAAATCATGGGGGTAGTTCTGGCGATACTCACCGCGTGCAGCCTCATGTTGTCATGGAGAAGGATGATCTGGCTTTGTTGGTCGGAGGTTTTCTTCTGAATAGACTGATTGACTTGATGCAACTACGACAAATAGAAGGGGCAATCAACTGTGTAATTCTTAAAAGGCAATTTCCAATGAGTTCAGCCCTCATAGTTTCGCTGAACTCAAAGCAGAACTGTTTTTAGATGAAGATCTGGTGATCCTTAAGCCTTAACTCAGGGATCTTAAAACTGCTCACATTCATTTTCAGTTCAGGTTGGTGTACAAACACCATTTTTCCTCACCGGTGACGATTTTATGCACAAATCGATATTGTGGCATGCCGTTCGATACCCAAAGAGATGTTACAATGCAACGCTGAATTTTAATCGCATGGTTAACTCAGAAAATTCGTGAGGCTTCCATGTTTCAAATTTCTGTGTAAAGTCAAGGGACCTGAAGTGCTAACTTCAGTCATATGGCTGCAGCCACACAACACGACAAGGTCTTGTCTTTGCTGGCCGTCTTTCTTTAAAAGTGCCTTCAGACGGCTTTCCACAACCTCAGATGATCGGCTGCAGCAAGGACATCCTCCAGGTTTCGAATCCTATGCTTAACGTCGATACAATACAGAGGACAGCGTTTGGACCTCGATAAAACGCCTAATGCAGAAGGTGTCAAAAATGGAAGGTCCATCTTTAAAGAGTTCCTTTAAAAACTGAAAACTGCACTTAAAACACAATACCATTACAGCGCACTGATGGAGCAGAAAGAGCATTTCAAACGGTATATCAGAAATAAATAAAAAATTAGAAAAAGCGGCTTTTTTTAAAAAAAAAGCACCGTTTCAATTTAATAATATGTCAACCCTCAACCGAGTACAGTCTTTACTACTAGATACTTAGTAACCATAATCGACTATATCTTACACTTCTGTACAGAAAGAAGTTGGCTCTCTAGATTGTACGTTTTAGGACACACGTTTATTCTGGACTCCCTCACGTTACTTCAGAATAATTATTGATGTAACCAACACTCAGATCACAGCCTTCATTGGTTAACTCCATATGACCCGCTATTGTACTATTTAATTTACTGACGGAGTTCCAATGCTATCTGAACTGGGGACATTTATATAGTACTACGATTATATTACATGGGTCTGTGTGTACACCTTTAAGCAAATACATAGCTATGACTGGTTACGGGGACTCTGTTCATTGAGGCATAGGCCCGAATCGCCGTGAGGATGTTTGACCTTATTTCAATTTTTTTTTATATTTTTGTGCGTCGTGGCCACTTCCCCCGGTAAACATTGTTTGTGGCAGAGTTAATCCTGACCATCCTGACCTTTTTCTGTCCATGATATATTTCTTTAGATATAATTTTACTTCAATCCGCTTTTCACAACAGAGACCTTAGCTTGAAGCCACATGATCCTTCTTTTCAAATGGGTGAATCCTCCCTCTCTCTGTCGTCTTCATGGCTACTTATGTAAGTCTAGAGTTTTTCTATTATATATCATATATACAGCTACTACAATGTGGCATCTGTTCTAACTCACGCATAAATTCTGCTTTGGTCATTTGTACAACGAATGGCCCAGTCTACATGGCAGTGTCGGCATCCTACATCTTCCCTTCGAGCTTCGTCTCTTCACATTACTTCTTTGCAGTGATTTGTTGACTAACCATTCGACTAAATACTTTTTTTTTATAGTGCTAGACTAACTACAGTGTTCAAATGGCTCCCCTTGACTGCTAGTTATCTATTATCGAAAATACCATTACACTGACCTGATGTGAGCAGCACCAGACTGTACAAGGCACAGTAACTAAAACTTGATTTGGCAAACATCAGATGAAAACCGATCATTTGTAATTACATATTCGCAGTTAAATGTCATAATTGAATGTTTTCGACATGATAGTTCAATCATAATTCGTACGTGCGTATTTGCAGCGACGGCATGACACGCAGCTCAAAAGTTTTACAGTTTATACTGGAAAATTATAAGCTTAAAAAAAATTATAAGCTGTAAGCTTATTTCAATCTCCTCAAATAATCGTTTGTTCAATGCTAGTCGCAATCGACACTACAGCATACAATGAGATCTTCTAGTTCAGCAAAAGCAAAGGTTCATTGGTTTCAGTTTGTGTTTTGCCCAACGTCGACGGTCTACGACTGCTGTCGCTTGTTGGGAATCTTCTAAACCAGGAGGGTCTGTAAATAAACATAGAAGAAAGGAGATAAAAAAGGTATTCACGTGATAGAATCTTTAGTGAATCATTCGTCATTCCTCATCAGGAAAATACATAGAGTTTATTAAAAAGTATTCAAAAAATTAAATATGCAGAAGCAACGATTGTTAAAATGCTACGTCAATGGTGCAGAAAAACCATATCATTATTGAGGCATTTATGACACGTTTCGCCTATGTAGTCTTTAATTTCGTCTAATATTTCAAGGTGTAGTTGCGGTTGAAGCTTCATGCCATTACAGTTTACACATTAGTATAGATTTTCATTTTAACCTTAAATACAAAACGGCTTTATTCTTAGGCGTTCAACACATGATGCCCTAATTGCTTGCACGGCGCAATACTATTTCTAGAAATAACTTGACCGCAAAATCGGCTATTCATTGAAATGTACAACAATTAAGACCAATTTTTAGTATACTTGATACATTAATAAATGGAATAATACTTAGCCGCCTTGGCAAACAAAGATTATACATAAGTGAGTTCGGTCAAAGTTGAATCGTAACAAAGAACTGCAAATTACTTCAGTTAATAATTTTAGTGCTGAGCTCAATGCTTAACTCAATAAAATGTCTAGCAATACATCAGTGTAAAATATAGACATATAATTTTGAATATTTTTTTTTGCAACACACAGCTGTTATTTGTCTTGTCTCCCATGTTGGCCTCGAGCGTAAGCCTATTATGTCTGACTTCAGCTACAAACGCAAGTTTAGTTTTTTAATCTGTGAACCTACTTTTGCTCTCCATCCATGATAAAAACAGGACATAGTATGCAACACTGTAAATGAAACATGATAGCGAGCACCCAAGGACAGACGACAGTATACGTACCATATGCGATGGGCTGTGCGCTTTTAGTCGGCGCAATGCGATTAGACCTTGAAGAGTGTGACAGCCTGAGTCCCACATTAAGTCCTTCGTGAGCTCCTTCCACAAGTCGAGGCTCTTCCATCAAGAACGCAGCGATGGCAGCGAAGTTATTGAAGACTGGAATGCAGGCTTCCTTCGCCCGACGGCTAAGGCAGGATTCCGTAATAAGGTGTTTTGTCTTTGAAATGTCCGCGTGTAGCTGCGATGCGCCTACATAACTACTTGGCATAAAATGGTAGATTAAAAAAAACACGAAACAGATATTGTTAGTAATTTTCGACGAGCAAGTATTGATGTACTATGCGTTAGATTTGGGTATAGTAGAAAATGATGTGTCATGGTAGTATGATCCATTTCGGCTATCACAATATCAGATAAGTAGCGCTGAGGAGTGAATAAAGACGGAAGGCGATAGCAGGACATTAGAAAGCAGGTGACACGGCAAACTGCCAATATCCATTACTACGATGAACAAGTGTAAACTGTATGGGTTGATATTGACAACCGAACGGAATAAAAGCCAATCTACATAGGCTGACTTGTATTGATTCATATAGTAATGGTATTCTAAACAATGAAACCGATATGAATGAATTCATATTATATTTAGTGGTAGTACACTATCTTGCGCATGTTATGACTAAGCATATTTACTATACTGTTCGCTGGAACAGTACCGGGATGAATCAACCACACTTTACTACTGATATTATTATTGATTCTCTAGTTATTAACAAAAAGAAACACGCACAGACTTGTTAAATTGAAAAATACAAATTTATTATTGTTATTTTGCTAGTTCCTCTATAATCATATAAGTATTTACAGATATACTGAAGTGAATACATCCAAAATAATTGCAGTATCTTTGATACATGACAAAAAAAAGATAATGGCGGGCAAGCCCAGTAAAAAATGCAGATATTGTAGCAGTGTTTTGAAATCATACGTATCTCCCCATGGAACATACATTATATTACACAGATGGATGATAAGTTTAAACTTTTAGCCCTTTTCTTACGTCGACGTTATTAGAAACTGCAGCGAATCGGTTGTAGAGCGCTTCGCTAGGGGGCCATTTCGCCCTTTCCCGTAAACGCCATCATCTGTTCTCATCATATTGCAGTTCTTGCGATCTGTGGGCAGTTTACACGTTATAGAGACTTGTTTCGCCACTCCGACAAATCTCTATGTATTCATCTCATATATGTGGAGGGTATCACATAGATTTTTGATTGTTACAATAGACAAGGTTCATTGATCTACGCTTGACGGAATGACAAATCGCCGGGCGTACTCATTGGGCGCTAGCTCGTTATACCATGTTGGATCAATCGGGGTCACATTTCGTATGTAGCACTTCGTCGTCTTAACAAGCTCAGTAAAGATGACAACTTCGGGATTTTGGCGAAACATACAAGACGATGGATGTATTACGACGTCCCGTTTCGATTCGAGTGCCCGATATTGATTTGCCTTGACGCGGTATGCCACGTTGCGGAACAGACCTGTAACGAGCGCTTTTCGGATGTTGTCATTCGTCGATTTTGACAGTGATAAACTCATTTGACCACAGACGTTGCGCAACTGTTCGCGAATACTCTTTACGTTATTCAACGTCTTCCGGTTGACAGCGTTTGCGTCGCACCACTCCTTATTGCCGCCGACTTGATTGAACTTGGTGTACATGTTCAGATACATAATTAGGTCACCCTCGTTTGTGCCAAACTGCCGTATCGCCGTGCCGTGACCGCCACTACCTCCTGCACCATCATCCTCTCCAGCAGCGGCGCCGGCACCGCCAATGCTCGCGATAGGCGAACCGTCAGCGCTGAGCACCGCAACTATCGTCACCATGGGTTCAACACAAGTTAGCATTTTCGCCCCGAAAATGCACCGACTGTACGTCGGCTCCAAAGGAAAGCGGCGCATCATTGAACCCAATGAGTTAAGGGCGACCTGACCGGATTCTTCCTCAATTTCCGTAGCCCCCAGAAGTTTTAACGTGTGTAGCGCCTGTTTGATAGCTTCATCTGCTGGACTTTCTAGCCAATCAAAGGTACGTATATCGATTCGAAGGGCAAGGATACTCATAATGACAGTGGAGAGAGCGCATCGTCGAATTTCAGCGATGGGAAACGGCCTGAGTGCTGTAAATTCGCCAGTGGTTAGCAGACGATAACATTCGCCATCGCTAACTCGACCTGCTCGACCCGAGCGTTGCCAAGCCTGTGCCTGTGAAATCTTCTCCACGCGGAGCAATTCCATACCTGTGGCGGGATTGTATTGTCGGCATTTCGCTCGGCATGTATCAACTACAAACTTGACCCCCGGGATGGTGATCGATGTTTCGGCAATATTCGTTGCAAATATAATTTTGCGCACGCCCGGTGGCGATGGTGTCAGACAACGTTCCTGAATGGCTTGAGGTAACGCTGAATACAGTGGCATCGCTTTGATGTCTTGACTAAGTTCCTGAGCTACCTCATTTGCACTTCGTACCATCGACTCTATTTCTTCTTGGCCTGTACAGAAAACCAGAATATCACCTGCCTCCTTTTCTTGAACAATTTTGAGTACGGTCATTAGCGCCGCATGTACATAATCATCCTGAACACTTGTTGTGTAATTGATTCCAACTTGATGTTGTCGGCCCTGAAGAGAGATGACGCAGTCAAAGCCTATCTCAAAAAATTTCAAGTATACCTCTGGATTGACGGTGGCCGACATAATAACTATCTTAAGAGGCCGACCCATTCCCTGCCGTTTCTTTTGGAGGTCGCGCAGTAAAGAGCATAGGACATCATTGTTAATAGTGCGTTCGTGGGCTTCGTCTAAAATTACAACCGAGTACTTTGTTAGCTGTGGATCATCCACAATTTCCCTCAGTAGCATACCGTCGGTGACGTATTTGATTCGTGTCGCCGGCGACGACATATCGTCGAATCGTACAGAATAGCCGACCCGGGTACCCAGCTGACACCTCATCATTCTGGCCACATACCGTGCCACGCTGGTAGCCGCTACTCTGCGCGGTTGGGTTATGCAGATCCCTGCGCCGTCTTGATGTTTGCTGCAAAAACCACTCTCGTAAAGGAACTTCGGAATCTCTGTTGTCTTGCCTGATGCCGTCTGCGAGACGATAATAGACGTCGGCCTGGATCTGATGTGCCGTACTATATCCCATTTGCGTTGGATGACGGGCAGAGCTGTCGGCCTCTGATCACTGAGAGCATAATGGGAAGAGTGCCCATTACTCAGTGAGTTCGCAGTCTCAGCAACTGCCATTGCAGCTGTTCCATTGTCCGGTTGCTCTGGAGGTCGCATCCTGGCGCCTGTTGTACAACTCGAATCCACCTAGTTGTAATGTGACAAAGACAAAAGACAGAGCTGTACACTTATACAGCTGCCCATCCAGACGAAGCTAGCTAGTATGTACGTCAAAGGCACACATAACTCCAGTACTGTCAGCTCAAGTCCAGCGCGAAATTTCCATCACACGACAATCGCTACGATGTCTCTCATTTGAAATAACGCACAACTATTTCCCACTGTGACAATGTGCGCTACTACGACTGCTATGCCAGACTCAAGCAACCAATAGAGAACGACTATCAGAAGCCAAATATTCACCAGCGTTAGAAACAACGTTTTCGAACGCACATATGATGTATGCGGCAAAATTGTTTTGAATGGATGGATGCATTCTTGTCGTCATTTGATCTTTCGTGCAGCCAATGTGTGGACTCACAAGCCGGGCGGCTCTACACGACGCGGGAAATGTCGATTAAACTTTACGCGTTAACTGAGCCTGTCTCCGTTTCAGGCGAGTTGACCTTGTAATAGACGATTTCTACATATCTATTGTAAAAGCAGCGTAAAAATGTAACCTTCAAGCTAGCTAACATTTTGGAGCCATTGAATTGACATTGGACGTCTGTGTTATTTACATACTAAACATACATAAGTCAATCAAGTACTTTCTCAAGATATAAGTGGCACATACGCAGAATCGGAGACCTATACGACGGCAAGTAGGATCGCTAGTGCGACGCGCATTGTAAGCAACATGAAAAAAAGGTAAAATATCATAAATAAGTATACCTATCGTTGATCTAATATCAAAGGTATATTCAATAAAACATAATTGAACCAGTGAAACAAGGCTGACATTGTGCGGCTATAGTACGACCTAGTTTGCTCACTCGCTGAATCATTTTTCTCATAATTTTAACATATGTCTTTGGCTTTAGCTCGATCACATCAATGTAGCATTTTGGCAATTGATATCATTTTGTGGAGATTGATATACAATGAAAAAACGAAAACAAGGTTTGTCTCAGCTATTACAATAAAATGTTCTTCTACATTCATTAGTACTTAAAAGTTGTAATTTTTTAGTCAAATGGCTGAAATATAATTATATTTAGTTCTATCCAAGGAAATTGGCAGGTAGAAAAAGTTATAAATCATTTTATGTTAAAAAAGGTTTTGTATTTACGAATACTACATATAGACCAAGCGTATAATAATAATTATTATTCTCATAAAATGCGACTACCAATTTAACATCAGCCACGAGGACGGCTAAACGCATGTTAAAAACAAGGAAAGCGTTTATGAATAGTTATCAAAAAAATAACGCCACAAAAAAGTGGATATGTGCTCCACTGAGAACCCGTCGTCATCAGCGGAGCCAAACCGATGCGGTTTTCAGCGACTGACGATAGTTAAAGCTGGATTATAATGACATTTTTACCTAGTGCTAGTGACGCTAATAGATGGAAGTCATACTTTGACGTGACGTTTCCTTATAGCGTTCTTGTCATTGATTCGAAGTACAGTGAAATGGAAAAATATTTTGCCGTGAAATTATTATTGTTACTACTATTATTAAATATCCTGAATGAGCTTAAAGGTGGGAAGCTGATTTCAATTTTAGCTCACCTTCAACGCCTTGAAACATGAACCCAAGTTTACGCGACTGCAAAAACGCAGGTTTGTTGAGAGACCAACGATCATAGGTTACCACAAAAAACTCTGATAAGAGTTCGACCGAAGCATTGTTTCGCAAATCGCGCCTATTTTTTACTTGGCGTGCAGACGCTGTGCATTGTTTTTGTCAAGCTTGACAATAAACAGAACGTACCGATATATGTAACTCTATAACATTACCACCTAGAAATATAAGGTCAATATGTGACTTCTAGGCTCGATTACCGTGCCTCGCCTGGTCAAATGTGGCTGAGTGAGTGGCATAATAACTAGAAGCTTGTTTTCCAGCGACGCCTTTTTATAAACGTACAGTGTAGACTTGTCGTCCAGAGCTAAAATTTATTAGTTTATTTTCCCATATGCTCAGAAGATTACGTCTCGTTTTCGTTGTACAGGAAGCTGATTGATTTCGTCACCATCTTTGAGTGTTTTATACCGGCTTTTGCCAAATTCGAAACCAACCTGAACATGAGCATCTTGTTCTGAATAGCGTTCTTCCAGGCATCTACAAGACTCGTCGAGCAGAATTTCATGACCTCTTCTTGTACCAGTTCGCTGTAGTTTTCAACTGCCTTCATTGTTGGTACGACAAGGTACTGAAGTAATGGAGTCATATAGTCGATCTCGTGACCCGCCTCTGTCGATAGCATCACCGTATTCGGCAATAATTCAAATTGTTAGATTCGTTTGGCTGCGTTCACAATAGCACCTGCTGTGTAACTGCACTTAATTTGATTAGTAGGAAAGAGTTATTTAACTGCTCGCATTGAGGAACTTGAATAGCTGTTTTCGATCGAGGGCATTTACACGAACATTATTTGGTAGATAGCAATAAACTTATATTCGATGTTATGCAATACAGAAACCATTCTGGTTCTGCCTGCGTTGCAGAAATTAAATATCGTTTCGGCGGTTGGTAAGGTGAAGTTGAATCATAAAATAACCCAATATCAAGCTCGGTGTCAGATAAGGAAATGATGATGCAACTAAGACTCATATATTTTCTAAATAATCTATTACCAGACTCAATTTACCAACCTATTTTTTTGCGACGAAAATACTTGTTAGGCGGAAGATTTGTGGCAAAGTATTCGGCGCACATCATTTTGCAGTTGGCCTCGTACTGCCGGAGCTGAATCTGTTCCAAGCTCTGAAAGAGAAACATAAATGCATGCACGTTCCAAAAAAAAGCCCTCAAATCTCTTCATAAGCCCTCACATAGCATAAGACGACAAGTGCGAAATCAAGACACTCGATTAGCATGCCGGCTTCTACCAATAAACATTGTGGACTCATATTCTTAGAATTATGCAGCCGAAATATAGTAGAGTATTCGTTCTCTGTGCTAGGCGGCCTCCTCTGGTCTCCTGAAACTAACTGACTTCAACCATTGGAAACGCCTATGAAAGTTTAGAAGCAGTACCAAATTAAAGTAAACTAAAGATTGTTAAGACTACAGCTAAATCCAAAAATATACGTGCTGCAATATTAACCACAGTGTCAATGGTACAAGGCCACATGTGATTCGGAATGTTAGGCCGTTACTCGAAACGGTTGAAATTTAGCAAAAAAGCTGTTTTAGTACTATAGAACGATGGCAATCGACACTGGATGGCCTGAATTAAGACACTTAATTACCATAAAAAAGGTGACCGTTTGCTGATATCTCCTGTCAACATCCTTGACAAAAACCCAATTTGCGAAATGCGACGGCGGCAATCTCCTGGAGAGGAAACTTTCCTTGCGGAGAGCTGTATTTAGCGTAACTGCCGTGGATGCTGCAGACGCCTGACTCATGTTGCAGCGCACAAGCAGATACCGCATTCGGGCAAGATCTGAACAGCCCATTACCAGGTATTGGTATGGATCCCATGAAGATGAAAACATCTGCCGATCCTCCAACCACTGGATGGCCAGTTGCAGCGTGTCCGTGACAGATTGCCGTACTTGACGTTCGAATGACAGAGATACATAAATAATATCGGCATGGAATTGAGAGTGCTTTTACTTTGGTGAGAGGTATAAAGCAAGTAAGGAGAAGAAACAAAAACGATCAGTATTGTTCCGCATTTTATCGTGCATTGATTTTCGTGGAAATACCTATGAAGGTTATTTGTCTCGGCTTTGTCCTATTGAAAATCGTCTTTTCAATTTTATTTTAGTCAGGGTTTGGGAAAAAATTAGATCGTAGGCAGTTTACCTTAATCACGCATGTTAAACCCACTGTAATAATATCAAGCCATTCAAGTAGATGTATGGTCTCTATTATACGGATAAATCATTTGATTTTGAATTTCTATATAATAAAATTAAAACATATTCGCCTAATGCATCAGTCAAGTAACACTGGAACAGAGGAATAAAAAAGCGTTTTGCGTATATGAAAATTAGAGAAAACAATGCATAAGTTTGATACAGGAGAGGTGAACATACGCACCAATAACCTGGTGCACGACGTTATGTGAACGGGCGTTGTCCTGTGGACAAGAGACCAGGTAACCGAGAAGGGGTTCAAGTGCCCTAAATAGATGCCTTCCCGCATCTGTTCCGACTCGACCTCCTGCAATCGGCACGAACTTGCTGCGACGAAGCGCATAGGAAATTGTTGCCAGGCTCATGTCTACATAAGATATTAGAAAAAAAAAAAATGAATACTCAGATTTAGTTCTAGAGTTGTTATTGCGGTTTTCGTATATTACAAAGTGAGACACTATTATATTGTTACTCAAGACTATTTCGAAAATGACGTCAACAATGTTGATCGATGGAAAATTTGGACTATTTTAGATATAATGAGGATAAAATATGATAGCTATGTTTTCTACATTACGTAATAATTTTCAGTAAAGTGAAATTTATTTTAGACGGTATTTTTGTATTACTTCAGCAGAAGAAATAGTAAAACCTTTTCTCCAGCAACTTGTCGCCACCAAGAAGTAAATCTCCTGGTAAATTTTCATAATGGCATTGAGTGCGTCCTCATCGAGATCTGAAAAATTATGAATTTGGTTATTCTCTCCTAAATTACCCGTATTTATGCCTGATCAACCTCAAGAACAGTGACTGCATAAAGATCAACATGGTTTACCTGAGTTGTTTCCCTTTTTGCTTTCTGTATATTGAATACTCTGCAACAATAAAACCAAGATCTTGTCAAGACTTTGCTTTATAACATACAAGATGTATGCATAGGACTGTCAAAAAAAAAACAACGCAAATACGCGTCACAATCGAATTCAAATAAGCAATTCTTAGAACCTGACAGGGTCGGTAGTCGATATGTGGGCCTATTATAATCACGACTAATAAGAGGCAACTTGTTAACTTCTCAACCTTTTGTAACTAGAGGACTATCTTTAGCACTGCTAATTCGAAAATTAATAATGCAGGTACGTACCCGGCGCATGTATATCCTTAGCGTAATCTACAAGCGATAGAACTACCGTCTTAACGTGTACATCCACGCCAAGCAGGCTAAATAGGGGATTAGTCCCACTAGCTATGTTTGCCGGACTCGCAATAGGAACCACAACACTTTCGAGTGCACGAACCGCAAACGACGACCAATACGCTTCCCAAAAGACTGTAGCTATCGTCTACAACGTAGTAGAAGAAACGTGTCAATAAAACTGAATTTGCCTAAACATATTTGGCTTAACCGAGATAGCATAATATTGGTATATTTATGTACATATAGCGTTTTGATGTTATCAAAAGTTATAAAAATCGTCTATTTATATTTCTTCTCACCTGCATTATACTAGTATACATAGCATGCTCTGCTGTCGGTTTAAACCAGCGTTGTCTTTTACCAGTACCCTGTCCGTGGCGGGCGTGGGTTCCTGGTTCGGCTTCATGTACCGACATTGCCGTTGCTACAAAGTTGCTCCGAATTAGAAGGCTTTGGGCACTGCCAACTGCTGAGTCGACAGCCGCGCACAAAGATGGAGTGCCATTTTTGTTTTCTTCGATCAGAAAAACAGCGAATAAGTTGATTACAGTAAACAGCACAGGGAGATCGTAGCCAGGCATTGTTTCTCAGGATGAATCTAATCAACGAACGGTCTCCGGATCGAATTTTGCGTTTTGTACAGACAATACAAACTCTTTATGTCGAGGATACGGATATTTAAACGGAGCTAATTCGTAACAAATTTTTATGGGTCTTTTTTTCGAACAGTTTATACAATGCTCACTTTTTCCGGTTGCTGGCACATTGGTGATGCTCCCATTATTGTTAGAAGGGCCAACGTCAGCGCTGTAGATTTTTAATGCGCCATTGTTCGTGCCGTTCGAATAATCCGAAAAATAGTCAGACGTTTCTCCGGCTAAGGCTTCCCGGTCTTTTCGTAATGGTTCGGGCCGGTCCGCGCTTCCAGTGTCACCAGGAATCCACTCAAATTCAAGGTTCTCCCGAAGAGACACTTTGTTGCCACCTCCGTGCAATATCGTGTAACAGGATAGATGCTCAAACATTTAGCATGAACATTACTAAACGAAATAGATCTTAGGGAAATTATATCCAGCAGATGTAAACTTGATCACAAAGGGATATATTGTAACAGAAATGTGTGCAATTTTTTTTATTTAATCTCACCTGTTAGTAGAAATATAGAAAGAAAAACAACACAGTGTAAAAAAAAAACAAAGATTAACGCTTCTTTTTTCTTGATTCGAAAAACGGTTTTGAACAGGCACTTACTGTCGTCTTTTCCCGCTACGGCTTCAACCCGTGTACGAGCCGTACGACAGACACCCGCCATTGCGCGCACCGCCGCAAGTCTTCCCTGCTCACGACCAAGACGCTCCATCACATCAGCAACTTTTAATGGCTTTACCGAGTGGGTTTGTACCCCGCTGAACTCGAGGATCTTGTTGAAGATTTGGCACTGCGCGAACATTGCTTGAAGGAGATCTTGATCAATGTCCGAAGGGTCAAGGCGCGCGAGCAAGCGGAGCTTTGAATGGAGCGCGGCGGAGACAAATGTGAATGCCACCTCAGAGCTTTGATTCAGTTGGCGATGCGTTGACAGGAGCAGCGGATCGACAGACGATGGGATCATTGTGTGAAATGACTCCACCATCTGACGGATGTAGCTATAATAACGCCACAAAGACAATGACTTAATATCATCATCTAATAAGTTAATTAGCGTACCTCTATTAACGCAGTTAATCAATGTATGTATACAGGGATCCATAGGTTGATGCGTTGCCCAAGTATACATTTGTATACATTTATAGAAATTACCGAAAATATTTTAAGGTAACGTGCATACATGTGTACATGTGTATCCATACCACGTAAACAGTAACGTTTCTGATTGTGTTTATTTTCAACGTAAAAAAATCACCATCAGTTACTCACCGTCGAAGCCAATGCGAAGCAATCGACACTTCGTTGAGAAGTTCCAGAATTCTAGGTAACCTTGCGCTTTCCTCTAAAAGTGTCTTTTCTTGACGTCTGCTCTTTTTTGAGTCTTCTTCGTTTTGATCTTCACTATGCTCTCCATCAGCCATGACAAGCCGGCGAACCTCATCAACCGACACAGACTTTGGTCCGCTATCCATAAGACGCTTCATTTCAGCGTGTTGCTCGACGACTAGTCGACGAATGTGATCGAGTAATTTTGCGGAGATTTCCAATCTGGTCAAGGCCTCCCGTTTAATAATTAGCACGCACCGATCGTGCATTAGTGCACGCAGTGAGTACTGGAGACGATTAAGTAATTGCAATTTTTTCTCGTTTAACTGCATCAATCGACGTGATAGAAAAAAAATAAGGTATGTTTGTGATTTGCATAACAAAGTACACCGATCATCGGACGAAAGGAGCAGTATAGAAACATGAATAGAAAATGTTGGAATAAATAAATCAGAAGATGAACTGCCCGCAAGCGTCATTGAAGAGCCGTTTGGAGACCGGTGCAGACGGCAACAGATAGATCCTAAAGGCACCTTCGGTTAGCCAAGACGTTTTTGAAATCACGAGAAGTGGACCGCAATTATAATCTTATCTGGTATGCGTTTTCATACTTACTGGTGAGGATAATTATTAGAACGTTGTGCATAAATATAATTTAGAAGCTGTATTTCGATCATAGACATTCAAATACTCACGTTACTAATATACTCCTGTGGAATTGGTGTTGATCTAGCAGATGACCCGGATAGGTTGTCTGATTGGCTTGCTTGGTTATTGTCTTGAAACCTTCGTTGAAGGAGGATATTCAGCGTTTCCATCATTTCGGCACTGCGCAGCATCGTGCGCTTTTCGTTTTCTACAACAACAAAAGGTAAGGCTGGCTACGCTGTTCAAAAGGAAATGTGCCAAAAGATGCCTATTATTACCGTTGCCTATGATAACTGAACGGAAATCCTATTGGCTTTCTTATATAAAGTGCGAGAATATATGGAGAGAGTGAAAAGCTTTCCTTATTCATTGATCGAAACGAAACTTGCCTAACATTAACCAATACCTCATTATATACGTACGTAGATTTCATAGATTGTTGCGTATGAGGCTCATTGAGTGATGTTGGTGTCAAAAACACGCAGAGTAATTTCACTTATAAGGACAACTCACACATTTGGAACTAATTTTACTTTAATACTATGTAACCTTAGTGACAAAAAGGATGGGCTTGAAATCTCTACTTTTACCATCTGTCCGCTTCCCTCACCTGGCCCTAATACTTGTTCATCTACTCCACCTAATGTATTATTATGTATTTCATGGTAAACCTAACCTAATTCAAAGAAAATCGAAGAACAGATCGGTAACGATGGTGCATTTCTACCAGGAAACTGAAACTTATCGCTTTTCTAGGAAAATACTTTCCGTCACGTATTTACACATTGTACTACGCAAATAGGTACAAAAGAATAACAAAGAAACGATTCAAAATTTATACAGCATCCTAATATTCGTTCAAGGAATGAGTTGCTTGTCGTCAGCTGGTTCAATTGGTTGCACTTTTCACCTTTAGCCATGGGAGTCCGTTCTGACTTCACTTTCGCTTCAGACTCTTTATTCTTATGGTCGTCTCTCCACTCCACATGACGCTGACCGGTACCGCCCCCTGTTTTCTTCTCTTTTTCCTTTTTTACAATACATTTTTTAACAGAGTTATCGCTGACCTGAGTAACCGACGCACGTCGACGCTGATTCGTTTCCAGCTTTATTGCCAAGGACGTACATGTTTTCATGCGTCCAACCATTGAATCTTCTTAATTTAGCGTCTTCCTCCAAAGGATACCTTTCAAAAACATATCAGAGCCGCGAAAAAACGACGATTTTCTCCGCAAGCGACTAACGGTCAATTACAGTTTCAAATAGATACAGTAGGTTCCTTTCAGCGCGACCTGCATTCTCCACTGAACCACACGTCAACGTAAGCGTGTTCAATAAAGGAAATGAAAAAGCCAAAGATTCGCATAATTTCAAATTGTTCACTCTCGCTGTTGTTGCACTAGCATATCTTTGCGTGCATTGTGTTTTTTGAATTCTTCTGGACATAAACTTTACAGAGCGAAAATTCACCTAGACCTTGAGTTTCCCAACTGCCTACAGAACCAAACAAGAAACACAGGTGCATTACGAGGTCCCGTCGTCGTCGATTCGGCAGCTTTCGAACGTCACCAACGATATGGGGATCGATATGACCTTGAACGGCGGCTCATACGCCGCTCAGTTTCTCACCAAATCACGTTGAACTCTTGTCCTATCCAGTGCAAACTTTACGATAAAACTGCAGAAGAATGCACAGTCTGGCATGTCTAGATAATCACTTTACTATGGTAATAAATTTCGTTAATGGTCTAAAAGTAAAAATTCGGCTGGCAGAATATAAGATACTGTGTTAATTTGAAGGAAAGTCGTTGTTCCTTGATTCGTAAGCAGCGGCAAGTTACGATGTCGGGGGAAAGATGAGTGTACGTTAAGCTGACGGTGCACTCCTGAGAACAAACTTCAACTTTGGCTTACGGATTTGCAAGGTAACGAAGAATCTATGAGACTTAGGGGCCAGTACCTGCCATGACAGGTGCGCGCAACAATTCAAGATTAGCTAAATGGCGGGTGAAGGGAATTCCATCCTCGCCTCTTGAGAACGTGCTTTGAAAATATGCGAGGACATGCACCTCAAACAAGACGCAAAGCAGACGGTCTTACGATTTGTTATATGGCAACTTTTATAACCAATGAAGACCGCATTCATGATGATTACCTAGCTTTGCTAAACATTGAAAAGTGATTTTAAAAACAGGCATTCAGAGAGATCAAGAGAGTAAATACAATAATCAAGTGGTATAACTATGGCGTGTCAACGTATGAGTAATTATTTGTCCTACAATTTATCTATCACCATCGATGAATAATAAAGTCGTCGATCAAATAATAGCTAGACTATACAACTGACGAAGATATATAAACCTTTTCAACAATTGCAGTGGAGTCCTACAAATATCTATATAGTGCTACGATTTTATCTGAATTTTCCACTCCAATAATATACACTAGATCAATTATTAAAAATAAATAGATATCGTTAGTATCAATGATCTAAGAGTATTATTCTTCTGATATGTCCTTTAAACCTTCATAGACTACTGAGTTAGACAAACTAAAACAACTGAATTACCTGAAAAGTGCAAGAACAATCTCTGGGAGAAGTAACAAAATGAATAGACATTTTCATTCATCGCCGCACTGCTATCCAAGGGTAAATTTCTTGTCTTTGGGCTGAGCATGAAACCTTCCACCACGGTGTCACATAGTTACGGGCACGTAGTGTTTCGTCCCTTCACCTCCTCCGTTATTGTTGCTCAAATCTCCAAATTCAGCAGTACATCGCAGATTTCTATCGGGCTATTGCTAGCGCTCGAGCTGGTGTGGTCCACAAACAAATACCTTGCTTCGATCGTATCACATAAAGGCAGTCGATAACAAAATAGCTAATTAACTAGGCATTAGCCAGACCCCGAAAGCTTCTATCTTTTTCAAGGTGTCGGCAAATTCCGTATCATCCTTACGTCATGCAGGATGCGACCGAATCCGGCAGGCGTATGACAGTTAATCGCTCAGCTGCAATGCGATTTTCAAATTATAATAGCAAGAAAAGCAATAAAGCACCTCAATGAAGGGCTTCGTGATATCTCGACTGATGTTTCGTTTCTGGTTTCAACGAAAGAGTTGAGAACTTGATTCAATACGACAATGAAAACAAACGGTACAGTAGGAAATAGTATGGGAGAAAAGGTAGTTATAAGACTTATCTTCATCGAATTTGGGTCGAGAGACAAACGCAAAGACACTCCAAAGGGTCGTCGCCCATTTTAAATTGAATATTTTGAGATAGCAAAGTAGCTGTTGAGGCACAAGTTACGATGAGAACAATAATTGAATAAGAGGTAGCAGGTCAAGTGGCTCCAAAATGAAGTTACTGTTAGTCAGCGTTGTTGTTGAAAACAGATGTTGTGTTGTACACATTTATCCTGCTAACAGTTGTTTACAAATACAATCTCGTTCTTACAGTGTCCTTTGTCTCGTCCGTTTGCAACGATGAGTACAATGCACGAGCCTCTTTCTCGAAAGTACGTTGCAATAGCTACAGAATATTTTAGAAAAATCTTAGAGAGATTTCCGAGGCGACAAATTTTTCTAGTGTAAAAGATATCTGAATTATTTATGCATAATATTTTTTTCCAATGAACTTTTAGATGCCTTCGAAAACAACAATAGCCGCTAGCAAGGACACCAACTACCGGTTGACCGTTTTGTACATAAATCTCTCGAGAAACGACGATGATCGCTGTAAAATGTATAATTTCTTTCTATTTTATATTTGGTAAGGTACGGTTGAGCATGATCGAAGTTCGTCAATGCAGGTTTCATACGGTACGCACAAAGTTAAAATTTTAGTTAAATTCCCCCCCCCCCCCCCGAAGCTGCAAAAGTGCATAATGGAAATCAGAGTAAGATATTGCTTGTATGAATGAGGGTAAATCTATATTTAACTAAAAAGTCTCTACAAAAGGGGCAATCATATGTGACATTCAAATTCATTCGTGACGTTTAATCCCTTATATAAATATTCTTCATTTCATAGTACCTTTATGAAGAGGCTACAGGCATTTATTGAATCCTCCAAACTGGATTTCAGGATACCGACATCATAAAAATTGAGGGGAAGATGTTAGTCATGTGAAGCAGAAAGATGCACGCTAAGACGCAATCTGTTTATCTACCGATGAGCTTTGTGTGTGCCCCCAAACTTTTCCAAAACAAATCGGTTAAGGGACGAGTCGGCTGCTAAGGCTGCCAAAATTGCATGCAGATCTTTTAGTATATTTCTGAGGAAGTTGGGCGATACACTTACTTATCAATTTCTATATAATCATAACTTATATCCTTTCGGCTTCAGATACTGCCCGAAAATTGGGAACAGCTGGATCTGAGTGAATTCACATGATGTCAACGTTAACTCATAATAATAATTATAACAGAAATTGATCTTCATGCACGCATCTCTTACATTTAAAGATAAAACCTTTAGTGCAGCTAACCCATACGCAATCCACAAAGTACTACATTCAGCTCTTCTCTTAGTTTTAACCATACTTTTTTACAATAATCCATCACAACTGGATTTTGACAACATATTCAAGTGTACACATTTCGGTACATATCTCTTGTGAGGAAGCTTGTAATACGTGCTCCATTTATTTATTTGCACTTTATCAGTATTGGTTAAACCGAGAAGACTTTTCAGATAACCCATTTTATTCTGTGGAAGCTGCTAACAATAGGCCAATATACGCCGTTTTAAGTGACAATATTTGGGCTTACGAGGCGCTCGAATTGGAAGAAATGGGTGCATCCGTCAGTAAGAGCTGGATTTAAGCGGGACCTGCTGATCCGTCGAAAGGTGTACCAAAATTTTTTCTGAGAAGAGACGCGTTTTGCCCCCATAGAACGTCATTGTCATAGTCGTAATCATAATTACAAGTTATCCATATCTCGACTGCTTATGAGGCTCAAGTTTTCCTTACTTAAAATAAAAAAAAATCATAAATTTTAGAATATTTATTAAAAAATCGACCGAAATTTTTATAATCAATATATTTCGTCCGTGTTGCATATCTGAATCAAAGCGTCGATATAGAGTTACATGTTATTATTACGCAACAAGCAAGTCCCTGCTTCAAAGAAGTATCTTAGACAAATCATTGTATCAGTTGGTAAAAGCTAACTTGAACCTAATAACTTCCGCTTTAAAGTGTCGCGACTGGACGATTTATTTAGTACACTGATATCCCGACTAGATTGGGGGTCCGTGAACTCTGATCAATACTGAGCTGAAGCGCCGATTAGTAACTGGTTCAAGAAATGCTTAAAGGAGATCGAATTCAGTTGTGAGGTAGAAACAATAGCAATCGGGTACCAAAAAAAGTATAGAATAGCACCATTGTCTTAGCAGTAGCTGAAAAAGAGTCCACTTTTACTTCTTAGCAAGAGGTATATTTCCGCCATTCGATCTTTTATTACGAATACATTTCTATTTGCCAGTCGTATTTAACTTGCCGCCACATACGAGTGTATACACAAGAGGTTCATTAGAGGTAGTCGCTCTACTTCGATCATTTGCAGTGATTAAGGGAAAATAACTTCTGAAAACTAAAAACTGTGATAAGCTTTTAGATAGCTTTATAATTACATCATCATTTCGTTTGGTTGCATATTCAGAAGGAGGCATACAGATCGAAATACCAATCTTTGAATCAACCGATCGGCAAGGAAAACATCTTACAACTCTATTTAATTTCTAATCTTTATGAAAAAAACAAAACAAAACATTTTTGTTTGTAATGATGGTGATGCAAATTAAGCTAGTCAGGATGGCGTACCTCGTCACTTCTCAAATATTTCATTTACCAAATAAGTGCAATCTCTCATCTTGCTTCAGCACGCTGGGGTAACGGCTTCTATATACTTACACTTACATAAGTGCGTGATTACTATTTGCTCAGTGTTCGTAATTCTAAGATCACACAGAAGCACTGTTAAGAATCTGTATTTTCTTTCGAAGTAAAGAGAAAACTTCTAATACCGTCTTACCCATGACTGCGACGTTTCCTTGTACCTCATAGAAAAATTTTGGCACATAATTGCTATAATTGTAAACGTAATACGTGTGAATTTCTGTCGGATTACCTCCCTTTTGATTTCGGACAGAGTAGGTAGAACAAACACTAACCAGGCCTATGGAAAATAACTATTCCTCTACACAAAGATCGTAACGTTCAATTAACGCATATATTTCTATTGCTTGTAGCTTAATTATTGTGATATGTCCTCGGGTCGCCATTACGATAGGTACGTATCAGTTCCATAAAATACGTTTCAGTATAAATACTCCCCTGGACGCTGTGCGTCCATATACAGTTTTTTTTTATTATATATACGGAGGTATACGGCCAGCTAAGCTTTGTGCTGCTACGGAAATACCCGATATAAAGTAGATCTCTTCTGTTTTCATTAAACTCGTATTCGTCTCACAAAATCTAACTAACGGTTAAAGGATAATTTTTTCAATGTTTTTTTTCTCAAACAAAATTTTCTATCCGAAACACTATGCACATTTGTTTAGCAGTTATCTTTACTGATAAAATGTCTGTCGGATAGCAAAGGGTGAGCCAATAATATTTTCAGCCATTTAAAAAACTCTTGCTTTGAGCGGAATATATCTTCTAAGCCGTTTCCACAAAAACATCGTTTTTGTTATGATGTTTCTGTAAAATCGGCTTATAGAAACGACTGTCTTGCGAAATTCTTTCCTGATGTTCACGTATTGCATAAGAGATAACGTGGTTTACGTTCGTGGCTTGACAATCTAATTTATGACATTCTGAGAGTACTCCAAATTTCAGGGGTCGCCTTTGAGGTGTTGGAAATATTGCTTTTTTAGCAGAGCTTGACACTCTCAATTGATTGAACTAGCAAAATTGTTTGCTTCTTGCTAATGTCGTCCAAGGAGTCGAAGTATGCTATGGCCCACGAGATTTCGGCTAACGACGCTATAATCGAGGAGCCGCGTACTAAAGAAGAAAGCTCAGGGAAAAGCATTAAGAAATTGACAAGCAAGGTTACGTGCCCGATCCCGAAAAATAAGATCAACTCAGCATTATCGTCAGCTCACCAAACATCGATCAGCGACTGGGTTCAGAAGCTAACGTCGAGTACACCGAGTCCTGAGACTCCGCTAACTCCCGAGTCACTGTTAACTGCTGGAGATCAGCGAAGTCCGACAATCTCCGAATCTCGTGTGAGTCCTGAGACTTTAGCCGGTGCCGTCGTTGCAGCGAGCTTGGAGTCAGTGTCGCGACCTGCTCCTACAGTAAAAGCGAAGAGCCGACCACCGACTAAAACAAAAAGCGGAATTCAAAAGCAGGGTGAGGCTAAACTTGGTGTTATCCAGAAGCTGGCTCAAAGAGGATGGTCAAACCCAGAAAGACTCTGGCTTTTCAAAGGGGTAGCAACTCCCATCAAAAACGTGTTTCTTTCAAAAAAAATTGCCGCAGCTAAACGAATATCAGTTTCGAAGGGAGTAATGCGTTCCAATATTTCGGTTCTTTCACAAAATAAGGGATCATATGTCAAAGGTCTTTCGCAGGGAAAAAAAGCTGCAGGAGCGCAATGGGTTATAGCAGTCAAAGGCAAAGCGAGTGCTAAAAATCAAACAGCAGGAACGGTTTTAGGGAAAATGGCTCTCAAAGGGCAAACATGTCCTCCCCAAGGGGTAGAAACTCCCAAAAATAGGGAAAGTCCCTCGGGGCAATTAAGTCCTGAAAGTACGGTTTGGCATGAAAGGGCATTGGACCAGTCGAGTGATCGAGATCATTCAAGCGATAAAGAACGATCCAGTGACGTTTTTGGTACGATGAAAGATTTTACTACAGTAAGAGACTTTCGAATAGCCAAAGACTGGGGTTCGGTAGCGAAGCAATGGGACCCGACTAGCGATCCGTCAAGCGACAAGGATCAGTCCAGCGATCGGGACGTCACGAGCAGCCGGGATCATTGGATAGAAAAACGTAATAGCGATGACCTCGTATCCAGTAGCAGCGGGGCTGGCCAGGAGCCGGAGACGTCCGGTCATTCGGCACAACCCGACTGTTCGGGCGTCCAGTGGGCGACCGTCACGCGTCAGGCCTTAAAAGAGTCTCGACAAGCTCTGATCGCGGCTCGCCCACCCATGAAAGAAGCTTGTACTTCAGACGACTCGCAGGCCGGTGAGGAAAGTGAGGACGTCCCTTTGAATTCGAACTCTCAAGTCGTTAACACAAAACCAATATCCAAACGTGGCTTTTGGCATCAGGTTGCCAGTATCGCCAAGGCAAATCGATCGAAAACGCCGAAAAAATAGGGTAAAGGAATTTTATCAAAATCATGTTACTAAATAATCTTTCGGCTGATCACGGAAGCCAACAACAACGACATGTTTGGCGAGTTCTTGATACTACGCCCGAAATTTTATATATATTTATTGTAACAGCAAAGACACACAGTGAGGTGCACTCACTCATCTTAAATTGGCCCTTAAAGGTCGATTAGGATTTTGTTGCTTAGATGATTTATAATTATATTTTGCTTATCACTGCGCGCTTCATCTTTCGTGAACTCCTTTATAAAATACTATAAAATTCTTTAACTCTACATAAATCGACGTTTAAAAATAAAAGCAATTGAAAAATCAGAAACTATACCACTCTCCCTTGCTAACTTCTAAAATAACCTTCCAACTGTAATTAATGAAAGCACAGCGACCCGGATAAGCTATGACTGTTTCAACAGTAGCGGTGCTCAAACATTCTGCCTTTAGCAGAACAGTAACTTCAACATGAATGAAGCACATTTTATATGAAAAAGTATTAACACCTTAGTACGAGTACGATTGTCATAGCTAGCCCTTCAAGCTGAAATTAAGCTAATCTTGTGCAATATAATAAGCCTCCATTGCATAATCATGACTCCACTTACCACTTCCGCTACTGGTAAATCCACTGTCCACAATATGGAGGATTGTTGGCGGACGTGGGGTATCCAGGTAATGAAGTACTAAGCTTTGTTCCCCTCGAATCCCGTTTTCCGGGTGACCTATGTGTTTTGCTTTTCCAGGGGATGCGTCACCTTTAATCGTGTTAGTATCGGAGTGAACCACATTTTCAGCCGGTACTTTTACAGCACCAAGCTCTGGTGCAGTGGAACTTTTCCTGTTAAGGCTATGGCCGGTCCAGTTGGTTTTATCCCGTATGACAATCGGTAACGATACTGAAGTTTTGCGATTCAGTTTAGCCTCTTCCGCGACGACAGCTGTACTCGGTTTTCTGCTCATAGGACCAGCAATGAAGTAGATACGAAGCATTAAGAAACTATTTATGATCAGATAAAGGTAAAGATGTGTCAAAACGCTAAGCTCTTGATCATCGTCATGTACCAATGATACAAAGAGTTTATGTACGATCCTTCGCAGAGCAGAGCTATTGCTATTAACAATAAAAAAATGAATAACAATTAAAAGGTGTAGCGGCGACTAAATAGCCTTGAGAACTTGTACGTAGCTGAATAGCTGGCGGTGTACATCGTCAACGGATATAGAAGTAGATTTATATGTAATTCATGTTCATTTGGTCTGGCAAGCATTGTTCATAAACATGCACGCTGTCAAGCGCTGACAATTTGCTTAGAAAAGCTCCGTATGTAAATGTCTTAAAAAGGCATGCCATCTGTTACAAAACTAACAAACGTTTATTCCAGCTGTGCTATGGCTATAAATTTATCTCAAGACCAAGGTCTGCCAGTTGTTTCACTTGGACGGCCTTTCTATAGTCAAGGGAACTACTGTCACCCGTTCTTAAACGGTTTATTTTCACTGTATGTTAGATTTCCACGGGTTAAGTAACACTGGTAATCGCTTGCTACTTGCTTACACATTCCACCGTTTGCATTTTTCAGTTATATTTCTAGATTTTAATATCATGTGAGTGGAACAGTAAGACGTGCCATCTTTATCAGACGTTTGTCGACCCCCCGCTGAACGAATACGGGCATATGTGTTCACATAGTCTAAAAGTACTCGATATATTTTTCTATACTGGTCTACCTGGTCAATAATACTGACCAGGGAACTCTTCAAGGCTAGATCTGCTTGAAATCTGAATAAGTGTTGATTTACCAGCGAGCGGCATGTGGATTCATCGATCTAACTAAACGGATGTCACTGATTTTATATCATCCAGATAATCGTAACGTCTCCTTGAACTAAGAAATTAAATGTCTTCCGTTTGCTTAGGAGTTGATATGACTCTGAGTATTTTGATTTTGTAGGCTCAATATTCGAGTTGCATGTGATACGTTATGAGACGAAGGTTCGAGTACTTCGAATCAATATACTTTTGATGCGGTATATCATGGCTAAAGTGCCTTAGCTCTAAACATACCGTGATTGGGCAGCTCGGACGTTTCTAGTACGGTAAAAACGGGTAAACCGGACGTATCGGTAGGTCTAGTCTTAAGTATACAAACTAATGGATTAATAGCTAATAATAAACCAAATTACGGAAATATAAGCCGCTCTGAATTTCAAAGAAGATTTCCCTGAACAGTCATGATATACCTAATACGTAACCTCAAAAAATTACCTGTTTCTATTTAGAGGTAGCCTAGATCCGGTTGAGGTTTTCACCTGAACTCGTCTTCGTTTACTTTTGTCTTTATCGTCTGGGGTCTTACCAATGGATTTATCTTTGTCGTTACGTTTACTCTCACCAACAGCGCCTCGTCGATGGTGGCTTATATTTCGTAAAGGCTCCTTATCAGATGAAGAGGATGAATGCGACTCACGGCTCTGGGTGAGCACGAGGTGACGTTGGATATCGATTAACCTACAATTGAATCGGTGATCAATAGCGATTTTTAGATATGCGTTGTACCTTTACCGCGATGTATCTGTACAAGTTGGCAGAAATTAACAGTTAAAAACTTCCGTAAAGTTCTTAATTCACTTGAATTACGTAGACTTGAAAAAGACATATTTCTGATTTTCTCCTTATAATGGAAGCTTTATTTATTCACGCTATTTGTGTAAATCTTCATATGGCTTTTATGTAGATCTGCATTTCCTAAAAGGTATATATATATATATATATATATATAACTTAATAACCTCCATAACGAACTCCAGTGTAAACATTAATAACCATAATAATCAAATTTGCAATTAGACAATAATCCCATAAGGCTATAAGACTGAGTTTTATAGCCTCGTTGAATTAAGCGGCATAACATCTGCCCCGGCCCCCAGTCTTACTTTGTAAATGCAGTTTTCTTTTGATTCATGTCACCCTTGTGTCTCGCAAATTAAATATAAAGGCCATAATTTCACACCTGTGCACAAATAGAGATTTATCTGTCGTTGTTAGGGTTAAAAGAAGGTATGTAAAGAAATTAATGTTTGATGCGCGCGTAATTAATCAAAGCCTTTTCCCGGTTGTCTGCGTTTGTCCGTCCCTTTTGGTGACTCTATCGCCCAAATTACCGGTAATGTACTTTCCATCAGGTCTAGCACGCTGAGCGTAAAAGGAATACCTGGGCACTTCCAAGTTTTTTCGATCTCCTTGATCAATATCCTGCAGGCCGCCGTAGTTAATCTACTGGCACGAAATCCATATTACTTAGATAACAGTGCATTTTGGTAGTTCACGTAGAAGGTAAAACGTTGGGAACTTGTAGATGCAGATTTTTTTTGCAATCATTCTTCAAGACTTCGGGTCATTCGGATCTTCTTTGCCTTTGGACAAGGGAGAACGCAACGATCGTTACGGTTTCCTTCAGGCATCTGGGTTTTTCGCTGACGGCAAGCATAAATTGAACGAATTTGTCCAATACGGTGAAGGTCATGGCTGCTTTGACCTGATTTTTGTTGTTACCATATTAAGTATGGCTATAAAGGCCCTCATCAGTGTTTTAGATGTTCAAAAATTGCGTAATTATTCCAGTAACAACTTTGAGAAAACACCAACAGTGTTCATTGTTTAATGTTACCTATTCTCTCTTCATTTACTTATTTTACCTTTTAACGTTGAACCTTTAAATTATATGTTTAGTGTCTACGATTTTCAAGTCTAAAGCACCAATGTAAAAAACAAGCAATATTTGACATTTCAATTGTAAAATGTTTAGCAATTATGTCCTATGAAGATGTGAAACGTAATATCACTGTTTGTAGATGTGATCACAAACCTTTTCCATTCTTGCTTGGCGATCTGTGTCTTCTTGATTTGGTGCACCGGCGGTAACTCGCAGCCTCCTGGATCGTCTTCAAATCCCCATAGCCCATGTGAGAGCTGCAAATCCTGCCGAGCAATCGGCATTTCGACCTATAATGTGCAAAATATCTATAGCCAGATTGATACAAATGATGACGTTAAAAGAGACAAATTAGTAAAGGCCACTTATTTTTTTGCACAGATGCAACACAAAAAGCCGTGGATACAATGTATCAAAGGAACAATACTCGTCGTCTACAAGCCTGTTTTAAAAGAAATTTTTTTGACTAACAAATATGTTGCAATTGCAAGATTAACAAACTAGATACACGGCAGTAGTTTTGCCCTATCAGGTAAGTAAATCCTTTGCTGAATAATTCTGTGCTACACTAAAGCACTTGCTGCTAATTGGCAAATGCTTTAGTTTACATGTAAAGATACGAAAGAGCTCGTCGATGGGCTTAAGCTGCTTCAACGTTGAATACTCTCGCATACGAGTCATTCTATGTACTGACTTCAATGTAACAGCGTTTAGTCAGACATGTGCTACCAGCGTCTTATGGGTGCGATATATAATTTTCAGGTAATAACCTATTTTGCGGTTTCGTCTCATGATGATCCCCGAACAATTCGTAGGACTTAAAGTCAAGTAGCGTTTTCAAACTTTTTTTTTTATCACGTAGCTATTATATATGCGTTTATCGTATTTGGATAAGAATTAGTTTGTCTATGTGTATGCTGTGAACCGTTAAGGACGGTTTGAAGTAAAGCGTACTCTCACCTGGACTTGAACGTAAAAAGCCTTATGTGTCTGATAGATTCTCTCTGTGAACTGGTAAAACGATCATGTTTTTGAACATTTAAACTAGTAGCCATACCTAGTCTATTTATATATTGCCTCTAATGCATTCTGAGTGTTCTCTTTAAATCGCTGTCACGGTGACCGATATCTAACAACCGTTTTATGATTGCTGATTTGTAGATTGCTGCTCAAATCTACGCGTTTCTTATGTTTTTGAAATTCCTAACTCAATATCACATTGTTCAATTCTTCGACCTGTTATTTCCAACTCCTGTAAAACTATTCGTGGTCCGCTTCAACGAATACGGTCGATTCTTTGCCTCCAGTGTATACAGCGCGGATACGTGCGAGTGCCTATTCGACCACAAACTACGTAATACACGTAATAGTCGTCATAATAATAATAGCCTTTCGAGTAATAGTGATAGTCATGCTTGTAATATACAATAGAACATCTGGCATACCATTTTCAGTTTGGCTTCGCTACTGCGGAGAGAGACATCAGATAAGGATAGACAACGACGGTCCGTGCGAGGACAGATCAGTGAGGGAAATCGGACCAGTGCAGTGACCCACATATTCTAGCATCACGCGTCCCCACGAAAACAGCCCCTGAAACCTCCGTGAATTCGCCCCAACCCTGCGGAGTTGCTGCTCGCGTCGATGAAGCTACCGCTTCCGGGTAGCTGCACAGAATGCGTAGTCTGATTACGGAGGCTACTGCGGGACTTTGAAGCACAGCGGTGACGGCTCCACTGCGCAGTTCGTATTTGTTAAGCTAACCCGGTAGACAATGTCAAAAAATATAACGACGACTTTTGGGCTTGGCCATTTCGTACTACGCAATCTATGAAATGAAAAATTTTTATATGTGTAAATATTCTCACACATAGCAGAAGTTATTGAAGACAGTCAAGAGAAAGTATATTGCTCGAACTTCGTGCTTTTGGTGAGAACCGTATGCCCTTTGTTATTATTATTGTTGTTGTTGTTGATTATTAACGTTTTTGTAACACGTGTTGCTTCCTCGATAACTTTTCCTCGACAGCACCCAAAGGATGGAAATCGAATTCAATTTCTACCTCAGTTTATTTAACTGAATCCTGAGGCCAGCCAATGAAGAAGTTTTATCTATGGTTAGCGTATTTAACATCATACCCCACATTACCTCATATCTATGGCTAAACTAAGTAATGTAGGTTAAAAAAATATACCTTAAGTAAATCGACTGGCTCTCTAGATCTGGTGAACGAAAGATATTATTTTAATTAGTCAGCCTGCCTAATGGTGATACCGGAAGTAAAAATCCGAAACATGGAGGTACTACACAATCTGAGAAAGTTATTTGACTCAGATAAGAGGATCCGGGCCACAAGGCCGTTGACTTTGGATCGAATCAATACGTTAAATTCGCGCATTAATTATGAGAGAGAGGTAAATAAGTGTATTAAGCTAGGAAGTCGTATATATATATCTTCCAATAGGTATTGACTGGATATTTTGTGCTATCTCTACAACAGTTCATCTGTACGCAGTTTTCACTGAACATGAACATTCGCCAAACCTAATTCGAGGCATTATTATTATACAAATCGATGTTTGCTAACACTTTAATAAATTTAGTATATAGTATTCAAGAAACCCAACCCTATCAAACTACTAACAACTGCATCTGTAAATCTCGTAACACCGAGTCATTTGTACAGTCTGTAATATCCTGAGCGCATTCAACTAGAAAATTCCTTAGCCCAAAACTATTACGATACGAAAACCTCTGTGTCTGGCTGTCTGAAATTATAATTAATTCGAACATAATTAAATCGAGTGTTTGTTCCGAAATGGAAAGTTAAAATCGTCGTTGATATGATATAGCTATAATGAGTTTCAGACGCAAATGTAACCTTTTATCAAAGCTTGTTTTAGCGACCGGCAAGGAAATACGTTAAAAAAGTTGTTACAGGTCGAATAACTAGAAACGTTCTCCCCGATTTTTCTTAAAATCAACGTGCACTAAAACAAACAAGATACTCTATCGTGATACGGTAACACTGATACACGCATAAAGCGTGCATCTTATGAGCCCTTTACAATAGTGCAAAGAATGAGGGTAGTGAGTTAAAAGGCCTAGCATCTAATAATATCTAAACATATTCCGTTGCATCTCTATGAAAGGGGCACCTTTTGAATCACTAACATACACGTCGTTGAGGGTGTTCAGGAAAGCAAAATGACTTTTTATCAAATGATTCAGACATGACAGAACTTGATTAAGTTGAGTTTAAATTATTATTAGTCACCATATGGGTGCATTTGTATAATGCATTTTTCCATTGCGATTAATCAGTTTAAACATCATACGCTGTGTCGAATGTATCTTTAGACTTGTGATGAGCTCTCTACGATAATGTATTTTACGTAGATGGCCTGTTCAGGGTACGTCTGAAATATTCTCGAATTTCTAACAAAGCTAACTCATAAAATACATAAATACAATAAAGTTGACGCGATATTATGAAAAACTTCGTTTCGAGGTTTATGACTAAGCTTTTACTTGTATGAAGTCGTGTAGAGTACCAGCACAGGTGACAAAAATCATGAAGCTAATTTAGACCCCTTGGATCTGTCTGATGATAGAATAGCTGCGGTAATTACTGATTTTCTATAGTGTATACTGAGTTGTTGGTCGCGTATGACAAAAATAGAATTGATCGCCTTTTAAACTTCGATGTATCTTTTATGTTTCTGTTGTGTTTCTAGGGGATTACATTTTTTTCCATATACCACTGAGTCATTTTATCGATTTGTTTTCATAGCAAGCACAAGCAATGATTGTACATTCTGAGTCAACTTACCGACGAACCCTTGTGGTATCAACGTTTTAGCATTCAAACAAACTGCACATGAAAATAAAATTTTTAGGGGTTAAATCATTACGCTCGGACATTACCACGCAGTTAATGTATAACGGGTCTTTCTGCTATTTTATTAAATACGCTTCCTAGGTACTAACTCAAACAAAGCAAGCTCTACTGGTTTAACCTAGTACGGCGCATAGCGAAATCAAGAAATAATGTCTAGAAACGCTAGGTCCTGCTAAAATACCAACTAGGGCATCTTTGCTTGTGATGAGCTGTGCCGTGTTTTACCTCAAAATTCAGTGGCGCCCCGATGAAATTTTAAGTTGCACTGGGTACAATTACTGAATTTCGGTAAGAAATTGTCACTCATTAGGTTTACTCCTAGTTATCCTATTTTATAGATTTATTTTAGGACACACAAGACTAAGTTTTCTTCACCAGTACATACACACATCCATTTTGACAGCACTCTACAGAAGTCCACGGGTGTCGCACTGTCCAGGAAGCTTGTGCTCGCCCTATCATCCATATAGCCGGTCCGATGGGAGATATATGGGTGCGTGTGGATCACTTTTCCCTGCTTTGCGTAAATTGGCGAGGGTCAAATCCTCCGTCGCCGTGACAACGGTTAATCGTAACACGCGATAACGGAGGTTTATGGTCCTTCTCGGTCCGTCTGTTATGATTCAGCTGGGGAATGGGAACGGTTTACTAAATAGACAGAATATGTAAAATCATACCGGACTTTTTTCGTAAAATTAAAATTTAAAACAACCTACTCGTTAAAGATATTTGTCTAGGTTTGTATGCACTGGCTTGATACTAGGCCGATGAAGTGAAAGAAAATGCGATATGGGGACAGAAATGCCATATGTTTAGCGATTTGAAGTGGCCGGGCCTTTCTGCAGGAAAACGCGACAAGTAGATGATACAATAGAACAATGATAATGCAATAAAGATTGTGTTAAAACAAAAGTGCTAATATTTTAACCACATGAATTCCTAGAAACTGTAGAATGAGAGATAGAATAAAAGATAAAAGCTTCTCTAATTAATTTTGTAATCGAATTGTAATGGTGTTGAAAGCAAGTGTTGATTTAACAACACTTTTTTAATTTAGTCGTTCAAGCCCATCATACAACTATAGTCGTAGTTTTTGTATTTTGAACCTATTTTTTAATTTAGAAGCTTAGGAGTGCGAAAACGCCGTTTTTTTTTAATCTAAGGGGTTGACTTTCATAAATATTTTAGTAAACTGTATGGCTACTATATAATTTGACGACAGGATTTGACTAAATATATAAAAAGCAATTCGTTTAGTTTATTCAGCCTCCAAACCTGTGAGTAGACCGTGTCAAGGCTTGGCCTACGAAAGAATGTATATAAATTGAATCACACTGACGCACCTGCATGTTCTCCCATTGGCAAGGAAAGTCGCATCTGAATTACCCATGTTGAAATGAGTACCATTTCTATCGATATGACAACAATCGGATTTCGTTTATGTTACCTCTATTACAGTTCGCTACAAATCCATATCACTTCCTATGCCATATCTACTCCATATCAAGTCAACGAATATTCGTTTCCTGGGTTGCCACAAAGCCCTGCGTCTATCTGTATTGGATTGGTACCAGCAGAATTGAGTCACTTTATCTTTTTTACTTTACTTATGGGTTCGTACTTTAGTGACGCATATATTTGGCAAACATCCTCATTACGCTCACCTCGAGATCGCTCGATACCATGTCAGTAGATTATGAGTGTTACTGTGTACAGACTGTTATGTATGACTAATAGATCGAACGTCTGTGATTTTTTTTTAGTTGCGCAGTTGGTGTATTGCGTAGATACCATATAAAGCTTACGTGTGTTACGACGCATAGGTGTACAAAGAGTATGCCGCCACAGAATTGGCAAGGCTAACGCGTACCTCTGCTTGGTAAATAAGCTTACTAGAGAAAGTTCGCATCGTGTAATCAGTTGTAGCTCTCTGATTATATCTTGATAATGATACTACGAAAAAGAACGTTCACCTTTTGTTGTCTGACGAAAACCTAACAATACTACGTTTGTGGATGTCAAAAATGAAACTTCATTCAGGTCTTCATGTAGTATCCACTACGCCTATTTTTAAAGACGTACATATGAGGCGCTTTCGTGCAAACGAACATCAGTCTATATATATATATATATATATAATTTCCTCCGCCTAAAATCCAGTCAAATCCATCAACCATTCTGACACAAAAAGGGCTAATTCTATTTCTTTTTCCTACAAAAAGCTCGGGTTTCGATATCGTTACCCCCTTCTATACCAGAACATTTTCTGTATATGTGAGTATATTTACATCGATCGTGGCCATATGACAGGTATGCTGCTTAAAAATGCAACTAAAACTTGCGCAGACAAATGTCAAATAAATACAATTAATCATGTACTAATCAATACATACTCTCTCATTATGTTTATTTACGCATATACACACCCTTTCACTTTGTAACCCACCCTTCTTATGTGGCGTTTTTCATTTTTTACCAAACATGTACGTTGTACGTAGAATACAATTTTCCACAGTTAATTACAGTTTAACCTCTCACAACTATATTTTACTTTTTAGAGGTCTTTGCAATTATGATTAACCAATACCATATTTATTCAATATAATCCTATCCCACCCAGGTCATGCTCGCTACTCTCAGGGCCCGCAGTACCGATAGCGCCATCATCGACCGCTTGAGACCACCTTGACTTTGTCGCTTTTCGCCTCTAACCCATACGATTCACTGTGCTACCTAACAATGTACATATTGAATTTAACAAAAACGATTGATGAGTGTCATCTCGCGTTCGGATCATGCTTTGCGAATCATACATACACAGACACGCTATAATGCAATGACGGGTGACATCTTTCGATTCTTTCTCATTTTTATACAATTTTTATCTCCTGGTGGACAAATGGTGACACTTGCCATAACGTCTCTTCCCAAAAAGTTCCTCATCGACCGACCCAAACGACCAAGGGCCTACAGAGCACGATGTCATTTTTGTATAAAGTGGCCTGCCGTCTGTTTTTTCCCATGATTATTTTTACTGTTTCTTTATTTTGCTTGTGTGTAGTTGCCGATGTTGCTAGTACCATATTAACCGTGAGTTGTGTCATCTTCAACAAAATCTCGAGCCTCATCTCGTGTCACGCATTCGATATGTGAAACCTTATTACGGAATTTCACTCCGTAGAATTTGTCGGCGTTCACCAACAGCTCAGGCCGGAATGTGGTCGTAATGAATTGGGCGTCGCTGCAGAGTTCATGTATCATTTCAGCAATAGCGCGTCGATGTTGAGCGTCAAGCGCCTGGTCGATTTCGTCAAAGAGGTAGAAGGGGGCTGGGTCACACTTTTGAATGGCGAAGATTAACGTTAGCGCCACCAGCGATTTTTGACCGCCAGAAAGCTGCTGCATTTCCTTCATTTCGGAGTTTTTCCCAACGAACGACACTCGAATACCGACCCCAGTGAAGTTATCAGCTCCGCCGCCCTCCTCGTCCGCATGTTCTTCTTCGTCCCGGTCCTTGTCTTTGTCCGTTCGCATCGTCAAATTGGCATGGCCCTGAGGTACAAGCTTCTTAAAGACTTCGGTAAAATACTTCGACACCTGTTTAAAGGTGAACTGGATAGCTTCGTACTTGCGCTGTTCGAGCACGCTCATCAGCTCTCGGATTGAGTGTCCCGCCCGATCTAGTTCCTCTTTACGTTTCATCAGCTTCTCTTTCTGTTCAGAGAAACTAACAAATTGGTCAAGAGCTTTCTTATTTACATGGGAATACTTCTTCAGCTCGTTGTTAGCTTGGTCGAGTTTCTTGAAGAGTTGTTTTAACGTCAAGTTTTGATATTTCTCAAATGCGTCCGATGGTAGTGAGCCTGCAAGAAACAATTCGCATCACCGATATGAATACATAATGAGTTAATATATAAATAGTTTATAACTAGAAGTAAAACACCTGCACATCGGTAGCTATTTATTTCTCACACCTTATTACTATTAATATTATTATTAGTGTTACATATAATGACATAGAAGGGCTATAGTGTAGTTTATACGCCTAAATACACACGCAAAAGAGAACAACTGCGGTGGGATTATTTCATTGTGTATATAACCATAGGTCATTGCCCGAAAACTGACCCAGGTCGCGGATTTTCTTCATGCATTCGTCCTTCTTTTTAAGCAAGACACTCTGCCGACTGCTCATTTTCTCAAGATCCTTCGCATCGTCGTTGATCCGATCCTGCCAATCTCGCTCTTGGCCTTTCCAGTGTTCCAATTGAGTGGCCACTTCCTTCTGTTCCTTTAAACTTGTTTCCAACTGCTTTTCGAGGCCATGCATCTGTCTGAGCACGTCTTCAATCCGAGAATTTACAGTGGTTAGCTCCGCTTGACAATTCTCCAACTTTCTCCGTCGGTCCTCTACCGATATCTCTTGTAACGCCTGTAATAACATTAACACACAGGCCGATGCTAGATGGCTTCACAAAACAACAAGCTAGCATAACGACTGTATTGACTCATGTACATTTCCATCCTGTCTACCAAATAAGGCTTCGAAAATTGTCTGTGCATGTATTTCAATGTAGCGTAGCCCCAAGAACTGTGGGTGTTGTAGAGTCTGCTACAGTATCAATCGTACTCAGTTTTGACAGAAATTAAATCCAGCTTCACTCACGATCCGAATCAACACCGTTATAATCTTGCCGTACCAGAATATCTGTGCACGGATTCGTTATAAATTTCAAACACAGGATAGTTGCTGACTGGTAATAGAGCCTTAGTGTAACATGACATCCGACAGACTTCTGTGATAATAAACTAGTAAAGCAAAAACTAGGCTGGTGGATGCTAGAAAGAAGCCTATTTACTATACGTACAGCTTCAAGTTCCTCTTTCCGCCGGTAGAGATTATTGTTAAGAAGATTCTCAAGTTTATTCTTTTCCGCTTCAAGCCTCATCCTTTCCGAGAATGCCTCTTTATTTTGTTGCGTTAGCCGTCGGATGTCGTCGTTAAGAGTGTCGACCTCGTTTTGGTCAGCGGCGCTTAACTGGGTTAGCAGTTCTTGTTGAAGTTCGGAACGGAGGCTTTGCTCTGTAGACTGCATAGATTTGAGCGACGAGTCCAACGATGCAAGAGACCGTTCCTTCGGCTGTTTGGACCGCTCAAGTGCTGAGAGTTCATCTTTCATCAACCGGATATCGGCTTTAAGCTTGTCGAATACGTCTTTATTTTTTGAGTTCTTCGTTTCGGTACGTTGCATATCAGCCACAACCTGATTGATCTCACTCTCGATCCGCTGTAGCTTTTCCTTGTGCTCGGAAAGTTGCCGTTCAACATCTTTGATCTCTTTCGACACTGTCGCATGTCCTTTGTGCAGATCCAAACGGGACCGGCGCGTATCAAAATAGCCACCCGTTAACGCACCCTTATGTGATACCTGGTCACCGTCCAGGGTGATGCAGTCCAGCTGCGAGGTCCTTGCAATCTGTGTGGCCACCTCGAGGTTGCGACATATTAGCGTTTTGCCATAGATGTACTTCATGGCGCGTTCAAAGCGCGGCTCGAACTTAAGCTTCGAAATCATGGGGATTGCGTCGTTGCTCTCTGGATAATCCTGTTCACGGTACACCAGCCGGTTCAACGGCATGAAGGTCACCTCTCCTGGAAGGCCCTGTTTGTTCATTTCTTGCAAGATCTTTGTGCCGATTCGATCATTCTCAACGATATGGTAGAATAGCTTGTTGCCTGACGTCACCTCAACAGCTGTGTAGATGGTCTTGTCACAATCGAAATTTTCAATTAGCATACCATAATATTGCTCGGCTATCTGCCTGAATTGGCCGCCCCGTTCTCGAAACGTCTGTAAAATTTTGCGTACCGAGTCACGTCCGTTTAATGTTGCCTTCCCAGTCATCGATCTATAACATTCAAGACAAAATAACAGCAAAGGCTATGAGTAATAAAATTAATAAAGTTGCATTTTTTCTGTACACACAGAGCGTCTTGTATCTGGCGTATGCTCCATATAAACAAAATTATTCGTTTTGTTGGCGCTACAGTAACAATTTTCCATTAAACCGATATTGGCGCATCAAATCTGTATGGGGAATATGCTATAATATTGAAATTAAATGAAACAAATATATCCCTTCTGCTGGGCATGTTCTATCGCACTAACCTAAGGCCTTGATCCTTTTTTTGCATCTCCTCCTTAAGGCCGGCCAAGGATTGCTGTAACTGGTTTTCGTGGCGCCAAAGCTCATTTCGCTCCGTCTGTAATGTGTCCTTCCTTTTCTTCATATCGTAGTAGCTTTTGTTCTGTCCGTCGATGTTATCCCGGTGGTTTTCCAGCTCCTTTGTAAGTTCATCCACTTTCTTCTCGAGCATTACTTTCTTAGCGGCGTCCCTCTGAGCCTCATCCTGAAGCCTATCGATCTGCTCACGCTTGTCACGAATGGCCTTCTGCAGCGATTTCAGCTCCTTCTGGATCCACTTGTCCCGTTCGGCTTTCGAGGTGAACTGCGACCCTCTGCCTTGTTTGGCATACAACTCAGTTCGCTTCTGTTCCTTGAGACTGAGTTCCCGCGTGCACTCCTCTTCTTTTTTCTTCATCACCTCGTATTGAGGGCGGATCTCGTCCAGCTTTGTCTGCTTTGCCGCGATCGTGTCCTTCAGCTTGGCCAGCTCTCGCTCGGCCCGCTTGCGCGAGCTGTCATCACCCTCTACCTCATCTTTGAGATCTTTGATGGTGAGCTCCAGTCGCGTTTTCTCCTTGAGGATGCCAGAGTTCTCAGAGGACAATGTTTCCTTTTCCTCTCTGTTGCCCGCTACTTTCTGACGAATATCGCGGAGTTCCTTGCTCAGCTTTTTGATCTTTTCCGCTGCACTCTGTAGATTCTCGCGGAGCTTCTCGGTAACGGAGCTACTAGACTCTCGACGGGTCTCCAGCTCTTCGAGCTTTTTTTTGGTGTCCTTCAATTCGTGATCGTAAATGGTGTACTCGAGCGAACGCCGCATTTTGTCCCACTTCTGGTACTCTTTGAGCTCTTCCTTCTCCTCCTCGAGCGTGGCCAGCCGCTCCTCAATATACTTGAGGAGGTCTTCTATCTTCTCTTTCTTCGCGTCGGTATCCTTAATCAGCTGCTTGGACTCTTCTCTCCTCTCGTCGTACACGCGGGTCCCCGCGACCTCCCGAAGGAGCTTCAACCGCTGCGAATCGGGGGCCGTCGCCATCTGGTTGATCTGTAACCGCGCGTAAAAACCGAAGGACAATGTAACATGTTAGCGAAATGTTGAGAAATAGAAGATCAGGGATACTCCATTTGGTACTGTCCGCTTCTGTTTTGAATAGATTGCCACTATCATATCTTGATATAGATCAGTTGACTTTAGTCAGAGGTAATCTACTTGAACGTGACTTTTATATTGCGACTCTCTTGTATTTAGTAAGCAACTATTCAGTACGCAGAAGCTTATAGGAGCAAATAATTCTCAGAAGTTTTGAACATGCAAGTATACCTTTCCCTGTTTCACGATGTAGTAAGGGTTGGAGCGCGAAAATCCTGCGCTCTCGAGGAGGTTCATGACGTCGGTGCGGGTAACCATTTTCTTGTTAAGAAAGTATTGGTCCTTTTTGGCGCCGATCACACGACGGATCGCCACCTCCTCTGAGTCTACGGGCAGACGTCCATCCGAGTTATCGAAAATAATTTCGACGTACGCTGATAGAGCGCGAGGCCCAGTGCCTTCGTGAAGCAGCGCTTGCCGCTGTTCTGGGCGCATGTGTGCGTACTCATCGCTGAGCACGAACTGGATGGCGTAAAAAAAGTTGGACTTGCCTGACCCGTTACGCCCTACGACGACGTTGTGGCCCGCGCTGAAAGGCTCCGTTACCGTCTGCTCCTTGTAGGATCGGAAGCCCTGGATGATGATCTGACCGAAACGAAATAAAGGTGCACAGAAATTAATAACTCGTAATCATATTCCGAGTGTAAGGCATAGAAGCATAGTTCTGCCTTTATTGCTTCTATTGATCATGCCATCAATCCGAAACAAGAGCAAAATAAAGCCTGTTAAGAATCGTATCACTTTAATTTAGGCTTCTCGATCTTTTTTGAAAATTAAGTTTTCTTTTTTCTGGAAAACATTTACCAAATTATTCGACGCTTGAAGCTCCAAATACCTGCAAATCTTCGAGTTTACGAAATTCAATTGATTCTTCAAAACTTTTAATGAAACGTACTGTTTAATGCGAAACAGACTTGATGTACATTTTGAACTATGGAATACATTATTTCTTAAACAAAACAACACTAACATCTAATCTAAAGGTAACATTTAGAGGTAATTTTTTCAAAGAGCTTTATTTCTCAGAAAAATGCATTTTGGTTTAGCTTTAGGCTTGGTTGGATAATAAACTACTTCTTTATCCTTATACGAATATATCATACTTAAGACTTGTATGGAAAGTTTTTTTGAAATTTAGTATATCTAAAAATCCAAGGTTTTTCATTTAAAAAGCACAAAAATTGAAATATTCTAAATTTAGGGTCACTGTTGCACTTTACCGAATTGATTCATAATTTAGAAAGTAACATAGCAGAAGACCCCAAAGAATATACAATTCCAGTGATTTAATATATGCTAATAACTTTAATAGTGTCAAGAAATTAGTATCAGCATCGACCTAAAAATAATTACATATTCCTCTATATTTATTCAATTATCAAAGCCATAAAAAGTAATTTCTGATTACTGATTTATTCATTGCTCATATGATAAAGTTTTTGCTCACTACTCCTTTGAGGCGTAGATAGAGCAGCATAGAACTTATTATATCAGATGTTTTCGATTTGATTGCAAGCAGTGCGCTAATCATATGGGAGTGGCGCCCTCTCCTAAGCGTCAGTGTAAGCTGTAAACATCAACTTTAGCGGTAAACGAGGACTTGGCAAATTATTCATACAAGTTATTCTTTTGACTCCAGTAAAGTTCGTTTGTTGCTTAAACTTCTGAATTAAAAGACAGAAGACAACCTCACCGCAATCTTCCTTTTTAGACTGCCTAATTGTTAATTGTTATTCAGCTTTACAACCGATATACCTGTATTGCCGTAGAGGCAACCAACGCGGCTAACCCTAACTAATATAAAACAATCAAATAGTTATCATTTTATCATTTCGAGCATTGTTATTCAGTCATTATCATCCCTTGTTTCACGCTGCAGAGGACATTCCCATCGGAATCAACAAATCCTCGAATCGCTACCATTCATCGAATCTCACAGCTGAGGCGCCCGCCGAACTCGGAGAAGGCCGCCTTACTGTCAACGCAGCGGTCCGACTAATTGTTTCGAGAGATCGGCCGAAACTCTTTTTAGGCCCAATTGATTCCAATGATGTCAAACATCTTACCTGTTTGATGTGCATCCTTATTGTTCATCTGGGCAGCATCACCGTCACAAAATCCGCACGGCCTCAAAACTGGTCACCCGTCGTCGTCGATGCTGGCTTGGCGACAGCGAAAACAAACAAGATGGCGGACTATGTAAAAATTGCGCCGGGCACTCTTTCGCTCTTCGCTCCTCTATCAGTAAATGAACCGGCAAATAAAAAAGAGACAATGACAAGCAACAGTATTGACAGAAGACACAGGCAAACTTTTTTAGCGCTGCCGTCGGCCCGCGGAGTTACTGGTGATTTGCAGTTGGATCGAATAAAGGTCTTGACCAAGCGAGAAAATACTGCAGTGCTCCGGGCCATTCTACCAGCAGATTCAATGCGTTAGCCACAGTTAATGACAGCGTTGTATAGCATAGAAGTCGGTATACCTGTGATACAGTAAAGCCAAAAAGTTCAGCATCAAGCGGGTTTAGTGACGGACGCTTGTCCAATATCGGCCGTCTATTGAGAACATCATTTTTATCGAGAGCTCTTTGCTGGCATATCGCTCATGCTGTGGTCATGTGCCCAAAAATAGCGCGAAAAATCGAGTCAAGGCTGCGGTTTTTTGCGAACAGAGGACTTGGATGTCTGTATTCTGTGGCCAATCCATCACAAAAGAAAGATAAAAAAAATGGCTCGGTTTGGTTAAGCTTATCGCTTATCTTTCTAGTAATTGTCTGAGTAAAAATAAAAAATAAGTTATACGTGTGTGCATCTTACATTTGTTAGCGACTTTATTGGGTTTATGCTTATTTGATTTGGAAAGTTCATGTAGATGTTTACTATGTTAATGTACTGGTACATTTTCATCAATTTTTTCATTAGCTTCATAATAGACTCTAAATCAGTTTTAATTTTTATTTAAAATGTATAACTTATAGAAGAAAAAGATCATTCTCTAACACAAAAATTACGTAAAGACGTTAAAAGTTTAATTTAATCGGCTAACGGCTGAAAAATTAACGGCTAACATTTCTTTCTGCACTTAGTGAAGCTATTAATGTATAATATAACATTACGTTTAATACATACCACCTATGTATGATTTAATATATACAGTTAAAATTTTATCTGTTAGTTATTTTTCAGAATTAAAGATAAGATTCATGCGTCGATGATTCTTATCGCGTTGTATCTATACGTCCTATAAAAGAGTTGTTTTTACATATTAAATCAAAGCAGCAGAAAGGAAAACACTTTTGATATAGCGTGGATTATTCGCGACCATTATTATTTTCGTACATTTACAAATGCAATTGCTTGTGACATTGCGTTCTAACATGCCCAACCCACAAAATCACTCAAATTTTGCGTCCTCACAGAGTGAAATGTATTTAATACAAATAATTCAGACTTCGTACGTATATGACTGCGTTAAGAAGTAGATCAGAATTTGATTTGTACATTAACTTAAACATTTTACATACAATATTTCGTAAAGCTGCGAACAGGTTCGCAAAGGGTAAAACCTCGTTGATCCAAAATATGTCCATAAAAATACAAATTGGGTGCTGATAAAAATACATGTATATACTTAACTAAAAGAAAATGATAGCAAAAATCCAGACCTCGAAGAAAAATATCATGTGTGTATATCCCAAAATACACAGTTCACTTAGAAGACACGCTGAAATAAGAAACAAATGAATACCTATCTTTTTACCTATGGAGAAACAATGAATATGTAAAAGCATCCTGCAGCTGACGATATCAGCCCTATTTGACCCATGCTGCTACCTAGTAATACGTACACATCGAACTTAAAGACATACGAATATAATTACGTCATCGGAGCTTTGTGAATCATATGCATATCTACATATTTTACAATGCAATGATAATTAGTATCAGACGCTTGATGCCTTTCCTATTCGATTTGCTCCTTTTGGACAATGTGTTTAATGCTAAGTAACATCTCTGATATCTGTGGCCCAAGATGCAGGCCTTCCTAATTTTTTTTGTTGTTGTAGTTTTTTTCTCTTGTCCTAATTTTTCGTTGCTTGTTTTTTTCTAAGTGTGAGTTTGATCATCTTCAACGAAGTCTCGCGCTTCTTCTCGAGTCACACATTCGATGTGTGACACCTTATTACGAAATTTTACTCCGTAAAATTTGTCGGCGTTTACCAGCAGCTCGGGCCGGAACGTTGTCGTAATGAACTGGGCGTCGCTGCAGAGCTCATGTATCATTTCAGCGATAGCTCGTCGATGTTGAGCATCCAATGCCTGGTCAATCTCGTCAAATAAGTAGAACGGAGCTGGATCACACTTTTGAATGGCGAAGATCAATGTTAGTGCCACCAGCGATTTTTGACCACCAGAAAGCTGTTGCATTTCCTTCATTTCGGAGTTTTTTCCCACAAATGACACGCGGATACCGATTCCGGTAAAATTGTCAGCGCTAGCTCCCTCTTCATCGTCATCATCGTTCTCCTTATCCTTATCCGTACGCATCGTCAGATTGGCATGACCCTGCGGAACGAGCTTCTTAAACACTTCGGTAAAATATTTCGACACCTGTTTAAAGGTGAACTGGATCGCTTCGTACTTGCGCTGTTCGAGCACACTCATCAGCTCTCGAATTGAGTGTCCGGCCCGATCTAGTTCCTCTTTACGTTTCATCAGTTTCTCTTTCTGTTCTGAGAAACTAACAAATTGGTCAAGAGCCTTTTTATTTACATGGGAATACTTCTTTAGTTCGTTGTTAGCCTGGTCGAGCTTCTTGAATAACTGCTTCAAGGTCAAAGTTTGATACTTCTCGAATGCATCTGATGGTAGTGAACCTGTAAGCGATTTGTATAAGATAAAGCAATTAGTATAACTAAAACAGAGTTTACTAGCTAATCGTTCATATTATGCTTCCCTTCCAAGAAGTTTTTGCTTGAAAGGCCTCGCGCAGTGCTGGGTGGGGTCACAAGGATGATAAAGAAACATCCGCCCGAATAGTTCTAATTTAATTAAATGTATCAAACAACGTCTTACAACTCTTAGGCTTACTATATTGCCGAAATCTTAATAAGCGGTAAGTAATCTAGATAAGTCCTTGTTTAAAATCAAAAGCATTTACCTAAAATACTGACCGAGATCGCGAATCTTCTTCATGCATTCGTCCTTTTTTTTGAGCAGAACACTTTGCCGACTGCTCATTTTTTCGAGATCCTTCGCATCGTCGTTAATTCGATCCTGCCAGTCTCGTTCTTGGCCTTTCCAATGTTCCAATTGGGCGCCTACTTCCTTTTGCTCTTTTAAACTGGTTTCCAACTGCTTCTCGAGGCCATGCATCTGTCTGAGCACGTCTTCAATCCGAGAATTTACAGTGGTGAGCTCCGCTTGACAATTCTCCAACTTTCTCCGTCGGTCCTCCACCGATATCTCTTGTAACGCCTGTAATAACATTAATGCACAGGCCAATGCTAGATGGCTTCACAAAACAACAAGCTAGGATAACGACTGCATTGACTTATGTATATTTCCATCCCGTCTATCAAATCAGACTTCGAAAATTATCTTTGCATGTGTTTCAATGTAGCGTAGCCCCAAAAACTGTGGGTGTTGTGGAGTCTGTTACACTCAATTTTGTACTCAATTTTGACAAAAATTAGATCCAGCTTCATTCATGATCCGAATCAACACCTATAATCTTGCCTTACCAGAATATCTGTGCACATACGAATGATAAATTTATCGAGCATGAACGGATTCCTTAATAATTACAAACACAGGATAGTTGCTCATTGGTAACAGGGCCTTGGTGTAACATGACGCCCGACAGACTTCTCTGATAATAAACTAGTAAAGCAAAAACTAGGTTGGTGGATGCTATAAAGAAGCCTATTTACTATACGTACAGCTTCAAGTTCCTCTTTCCGCCGGTAGAGATTATTGTTAAGAAGATTCTCGAGTTTGTTCTTTTCCGCTTCAAGCCTCATCCTTTCCGAGAATGCCTCTTTATTTTGTTGCGTTAGCCGTCGGATGTCGTCGTTAAGAGTGTCGACCTCGTTTTGGTCAGCGGCGCTTAACTGGGTTAGCAATTCTTGTTGAAGTTCGGAACGGAGGCTTTGTTCTGTAGACTGCATAGATTTGAGTGACGAGTCCAACGATGCAAGAGAGCGTTCCTTCGGCTGTTTGGACCTCTCGAGGGCTGAGAGTTCATCTTTCATCAACCGTATATCGGCCTTAAGCTTGTCGAATACGTCTTTATTTTTTGAGTTCTTCGTCTCAGTACGTTGCATATCAGCCACAACCTGATTGATCTCACTCTCGATCCGCTGTAGCTTTTCCTTGTGCTCGGAAAGTTGCTGTTCAACATCTTTGATCTCTTTCGACACTGTCGCATGTCCTTTATGCAGATCCAAACGGGACCGGCGGGTATCAAAATAGCCACCAGTCAATGCACCCTTATGTGATACCTGGTCACCGTCCAGGGTGATGCAGTCCAGCTGCGAAGTCCTTGCAATCTGTGTGGCCACCTCAAGGTTGCGACATATTAGAGTTTTACCGTAAATATATTTCATGGCGCGTTCAAAGCGTGGCTCGTATTTTAGCTTCGAAATCATGGGGATTGCATCGTTGCTCTCTGGATAATCCTGTTCACGGTACACTAGTCGATTCAACGGCATGAAGGTCACTTCTCCTGGAAGGCCCTGTTTGTTCATTTCTTGCAAAATTTTTGTGCCGATTCGGTCGTTTTCAACAATATGGTAGAACAGTTTATTACCTGATGTCACTTCGACGGCTGTATAGATCGTTTTATCACAATCGAAATTTTCGATTAGCATACCATAATATTGCTCGGCTATCTGCTTACACTGGCCACCCCGCTCTCGGAATGCTTGCAGTACTTTACGCACCGAGTCTCGCCCGTTTAATGTAGCCTTGCCTGTCATCGATCTACAAAGTTCAAACAAATTACGATGGAGAACAAATGTGCAACTAAAAGCTAAATGATCCAAGAATTTAGAAAAATACATCAGATATTGATCAAATATATTTAATGTTCATACAGATGCATGTTGTATTTGCAGTATTATCTAACATTGAACGTACACACGGACGATGATGTCACTTATGCAATTTCAGTTGTTTGATAATCATTATAAAATAAAAATACATGTTCGGCATATAACATATCATTGGTCAAAAACATTTTGACATTTAAACAAATAGCGCTTAAAATGGCTAAACTACTACTCGCTGTTGAATAAATTAATAAAACCCCAACATTTAGTGTCGCTAAGATATTTTCTAAATAAACGCTGCCAAAACAGAAACATTTTTTAATTTGTGTACTGCAATAAATTAGTACCACGCGTTAATTAATATGATTGGCAAATGAAAGTTGTAAATAACGCCCGCCAAAATTTCTACTCAACTTTTTAATTATGTTGCATGTTTTGATAATACCTTATAAACCCACATGCACTTGATATAACTATATATACAAACTTGACATAAATTATACTAGTATGTATTAGCAGATTTCCGTTACAACGAGAAAAACCGACGCTGTCAGCACTTCAACGGTCTGCAAGCTTGGCCAACACTCACCTAAGACCTTGGTCCTTCTTTTGCATTTCCTCTTTAAGGCCGGCTAAGGATTGCTGTAACTGGTTTTCGTGGCGCCAAAGCTCATTACGTTCCGTCTGTAACGTGTCCTTCCGTTTCTTCATGTCATAGTAGCTTTTATTCTGTCCGTCGATATTATCCCGGTGGTTTTCCAGCTCCTTTGTAAGTTCGTCCACTTTCTTCTCGAGCATCACTTTCTTAGCGGCGTCCCTCTGAGCCTCATCCTGAAGCCTATCGATCTGCTCACGCTTGTCACGGATGGCCTTTTGCAGCGACTTTAGCTCCTTCTGAATCCATTTGTCCCGTTCGGCTTTCGAGGTGAACTGTGACCCTCTGCCTTGCTTGGCATACAACTCAGTTCGCTTCTGTTCCTTGAGACTCAGTTCCCGTGTGCACTCCTCTTCTTTTTTCTTCATCACCTCGTACTGAGGACGGATCTCGTCCAGCTTTGTCTGTTTTGCCGAGATCGTGTCTTTCAATTTTGCTAGCTCTCGCTCAGCTCGCTTACGCGAGCTATCATCACCCTCCACCTCATCTTTGAGATCTTTGATGGTGAGCTCCAGTCGTGTTTTTTCCTTGAGGATGCCAGAGTTCTCAGATGACAGTGTCTCCTTTTCTTCCCTGTTGGCCGCCACTTTTTGACGAATATCACGGAGTTCCTTGCTTAGCTTTTTTATTTTTTCCGCTGCACTCTGTAGATTTTCCCGGAGCTTCTCGGTAACGGAGCTACTGGACTCGCGACGGGTCTCCAGCTCTTCAAGCTTTTTTTTGGTGTCCTTCAATTCATGATCATAAATGGTGTATTCGAGCGAGCGTCGCATCTTGTCCCATTTCTGATATTCTTTGAGTTCTTCTTTCTCTTCCTCAAGAGTGGCCAGCCTCTCCATAATAAACTTAAGGACTTCGTCAATTCTTTCTTTTTTCGCATCTGTCTCCTTAATCATTTCCTTTGATTCCTCTCTCCTTTCATCATAGACACGGGTACCTGCGACCTCCCGAAGAAGCTTCAACCGTTGCGAATCAGGAGCTGTTGCCATCTGGTTGATCTTCAATTAAAACGGATATAAAAATTCTCGTAAGCATCGATGCTAAATAGTTCAAAGAAACGACATGCCTTGCAGGTAGGAATAAAACATTTTCCTTCGGTATACCCTATATTTCGCAGATATGTATCTTTGAACTATAGATATTGCTTATTATAGATACTGGCAGCATTATCTAATTTCGAAAAACCTTACTTTATGTTAAGCAAATCATTTTTTAGTTGAGACATCTATAGATGTGTATAAAATAATAACATGGTTTCTCTCAAATCCGTAGGCTCGACCAGAAATAAGTACCTTTCCCTGTTTGACGATATAGTAAGGATTAGAGCGCGAAAATCCCGCGCTTTCGAGGAGGTTCATCACGTCGGTGCGGGTAACCATCTTCTTATTAAGAAAATACTGGTCTTTTTTTGCCCCTATCACACGACGGATTGCCACCTCCTCTGAGTCCACGGGCAAACGTCCATCCGTGTTATCGAAAATAATTTCGACGTATGCTGATAGAGCGCGAGGCCCAGTGCCTTCATGCAGCAGTGCTTGCCGTTGTTCCGGGCGCATGTGGGCGTACTCATCGCTAAGCACGAACTGGATAGCGTAGAAAAAGTTAGATTTGCCTGACCCGTTACGCCCCACGACGACGTTATGGCCTGCGCTGAAAGGCTCTGTTACCGTCTGCTCCTTATAGGACCGGAAACCTTGGATGATAATCTAGCAGTAGAAAAGGAAGTGCAAGCAAACAATAGTTGCAATATTGTTAGTATGTAGGCGTCTGTTTATGCTAGTGGCAACCAGCAGGAAAAAAGGCTGATTACTGACTAATGAAAAAGTTAAGGAATTTAAGGAAGCCTTTTTTTTGCATCGAACCTAGCTACTCATTTTATATCAGTGTAAGGTATATCCCAGCCTACCTATAATTGTCTGTAAAGAACTGAGTTTGTGTAACTCAGGCTATAGATTATTTTGTCAGCGAAGTCGAGAGTTCAGAAGTCCTATAGTGCATATCATAAAATCCCAAAAAAAAAAAGGTTTGCACTGAATATTAGTTCTTCAAAACATCAGGGACAAACAGTAGAATTTGAAAAAAAAATATCTGTAATAATTTACAACTCATGTTTCATCTGTTTGGTCATTTTATACATCAAACACTTAAGTAAGGTCTTTGATTGGAAAACCTTACTAAAATGTGTGGAAATGGAAGAAATACAAGCGTCAAAAAATATTGAAACATACTCCGGGGTTACTGTAAAAAGTGTCCATACACAAGACAGAAAATAACGATACATGAATATTGTTCCATTTGATGTTAGTGGCGTCAATTACAGAAGTTTATCAGATGAAGCGGGATCCTTTCCTTTACCTCTTAAAATAGATTTTCATTCATTGCAATAATTATTGACGCATCCCCAGGTAGGCATGCCGTCTTGTTTTTGCTTTATAAGTATCTTTCACTAAAAATAACCGCTTGAGAAAGGTCCAACGAATCCATCAGATTTATTAATTTCATACTTTCAATAACTGCAAATGCAGTATATAGATGAGCGCTCGTTCTCAAGTGTCGAGTTGAGTTCTAAACAGATATAGGCCTTCAAGGAATTCAACGCTGAACGAAGTACACCCATGTCTATTAACGTGATTGCAAACATGATATAAACCGTTAAAATTTTTCAAGAAAATAACATTTTGAATCTTTGTCCTGGCCCTTTTAGAACGAGTACTTAAAAGTCAATGCTTTCTTACGTCAACATCCGCAATACACCGGACATCTACACACAGACAACCGACATTGAATGAACAAACTATGCTGAACTCATGTTATCTATTTGTTGCAAATACTGGCATACACTACTTACCACCAACCTCTCTGTTTAAGTTCTTAGTTCATGTTTTCTTCCCACAGCCAACATCCCCGAGGCCCATTATTATATCCAATCACACAGACACACAGCAGCTGAGCCACCCGCCCGCCGACCTCAGCGGAAGCCGCCTTTCTGTCACAGCGGCAGTACATCATATAGGCCAAGCTAAACCTGTCACTCAATCTTACCCCACTGCGGTCAGTAGCCTTACCTGTTTGATATGCATCCTTGGCGCTAGCTAGAATAGCATCACCGTTAGAAAATTCACACAAAAACCAGCCTCAAAAGTCGTCGCCCATCATCCTATCGTACGCTGTCTCAGTTACAGTCAAAACAAATATCATAGCAGACGATATCGAGTTTTGCGCCTTTTCGGTGAGTGGCGAACGAAACAAGCAAACAGGCCAGCGCGCCACTTTCTGCCACTAGACACGCTCTCCATTGCGACGGCCGTAACGTCCTCCACTGCACCTTACTGATTAAATGCACTACTGAATACTCTGGCCTGGAGGTAACGAACGGAGATCGTACAACTTAATCAGTAGCAAGCGTAAATTCACGTAACGATACACCAATAGCTTTTCAATGAAAATGAAGAGCATGTCGTGGGTTGTTTAGAGCTCTGTAAAAAAAAATGGCAGCCTGAAGGAAATCATGCTCGATATAATGATTATCTTATATATATAGGAGCTTTGGACGATTATGTTGATACTTCATTGTTGTTTGCTTTAGCAGCAATCTAGATAAGATTCGTAAATAAGTTGTAGATAATAAAGTGCGATGGATTTATCAACTGTACGTTAAGTAAATGTAAGGCCAAAGGTCCGATATAGAGCGCAATGTACTCTTATGAGTATTAAAACGTCCTTTTGCACATGTACAGGCATAACCAACTCCTAATGCGATAACTATGATTACTTAAGTGCAGAAAATTATTTTTGTTTAAAAAAGGTTAAGCTCTTATGCGCAGTTTACTGTTAATAAGATATTCGTTTGATACTGTAGGCCTTTTACCCATTGCATGCTACACTCCATCGTTGAGCTTTAGTTTAAAAATTACTCGAATCAAAGCTATTATACCAAACAGACTTAGTAGTCTCGAAATATTATCAGATAGACATTTAACCTATTTTAATATGCAGTATCAGATTTTATATATTTATTTTATTTTATGATTCAGCATGTAGCATGTAGATCAATTGTAATAAGATACGACTGAAATAACTTAATCACTAATGTAAAATTGTCATTGCTAGAAAAAAATAGCAATAGAATTAAACGTATTTATTGAATGAATTAATTTATTTTTATTGATTTAGAGATAATACTACTAATACCTCATTTTTTCTTTTTATCTGTTACAGCTATCGTTACTGTTGTCATAAATTACTGACAAAAATATAAGAAAACAATATGCTTGGCATGCGATTGGGAATAAAATTCAACCAAATTGGTATAATATTTAAGTTTTATTTTTTCGAAACAAATATAGTTTAGCTAGGTCTGAATCCGTTGTCAAAAATATCAACCGTTTACCGTCTCTTTAAATTGAACCCCGTATGACTTTCTGTGGCGAGACATGCCAGCCTTAGAGATCATCGTTCATAATATCGACGCGTTTGGGATTTGGCTTAGCTAAGGCAGACAGCTGCGCTTAAGTCCTTGCGTGTCGAGTCCTATAGCCACTTGTGGCGCGTTCCCGCGTTCGTCATTATAAAAGATGAAAGCATTTGACGCTCTCCTGTGCCGCGGGATGAATGAATTTCGGTCAGGTCTCGGATCTAGCCAGATGGATAGTTAGAAACCAGACGAATATATGCAATACGTTTTGTTGAGACCAGTTAGACTAGTGTGAATACATTTTTTTTTAATTTCTTGAGTTAAGGACTACAGTGTGGGTGAAATCCACGAAGTAACGCTAGATCATATTTAAATTAAGCTAATAGTTGATTTGAGTTGGATGCATTCGCAGGCATTACTTTTTTACAATTTCTACAATTATTTGTATAGATATATTCTGGTTAACATTTGTGCCACTCAACCGTTTGTACCTATTATGATTTTTATCTTCTTGCAAACTTTTGGCTGTTCCTCTTACCGCCATCGACCTCAAAGTCAGGAAAGCATCACGATCATGAATCAAATACTGCAACATGTGGTTCCCATTTCTGTGACTCTAACCTATTTGACTAGTCTACCAGGACACAGGCGATTCGTACCCTGAAATTCAGTGTCCTGCTTAGATGAGACAAATTTCAATCCATACAGAATCAACTAGCTTTCACCTGGTAAGATACCCACTAGTAGCAATTGTAGCTCAGAACAGATTGAAGCACCAAGTCGCCATAACTATTGCGATTTATTCGAATCAACTTTGATCACGACTAGTAAAGCTGCCAGTAGGCCGAATTGTTTGGAATGGCCAAAACAGCAGCTATGATACATATGTAGATAGAATAGATATCGTTGGTTATGCACAGGCGATGCCGGTTTCGCTCGCAGTCCAGCTGCCAACAGTTCGGCTTCCGTTACAACGTTTGCTATCCTGTAACAGCGTCTCGTTGCGTTATCGGCTAACCCAGACTGTGAGAGCCACCCTTTCTCGACACGAATGCTCACCATCCTCGGGCAATAAGTCGGCGCGCAATGCAAACCGAAGCTGGAGAAGGCAGTCTGTGATGCCGCGAACACCTGTGTCGACGGCGAACTACGCCGCCGAAGCGATCGCGGGTAGCTAGTCAGTTTGGCGTTCGTCATAGTAATAGCGGCGCTGGCTTATTTAGCTGCAGAAACGACTCGACTGCCGATGCCGTGAACACAAAGGTATGACAAAGACGTCTCTTGAATGTTCTTCCATGTTTGACAGCCCTGCAGGTAACTGCAATGCTTAAAGGCGACGGTACCCGTTTTTTCAGTGTATTCGTAATCGAGTTCGTACCATTTGCTGCTAATACCTCAAGTGTGCCAGCGCAGTATAGTTACAGGGGGCCATATCCGGATGTATGTCGAGATACACATAAGGGATGCTTACATCTTTATTCGTTTCGTGCTTAAGAAAGGAACAGAAGTGAATCCAAGATTTATACTGCTCATAAAGTGACCACAGTTATACTATCATACGATATCTGAATGTGACCAAAACGACAGGAGACGTCCTTGAGACTGTTGTCAAATTTAGGTAAATACGTAGGTACGCAACTGTTACGGGTTTAAAGGCAATGCCCACAGTGTTATAGGCGACAATAATAGTAAAAAGCTTGGTGGGACTCCATTTATCATTGGCATTGGCGAAGTACGAGGGTTAGCTTCAAGTGACAGTCAAAACTGCAACTCATGGTTATCGTTCATCGTTAGTAAGTAGTCGATTTTGGTCCTTTTCATGCCATTTGCTGGTAGTTTTTGTCTATTCGGTTAATGGCGATAGCATCAGCTGACCTAGTTGAAAGTGGTTTGGGTGGAACCCGGCCAGTCGGTACTGGACCAAGGCTCCATGTAAAGTTGTGAGTGAATAGACGAAGATGCTAAGGACGAACTGTTGCTTTGGTCGAGAAATAGATCGTTTGTTAATTTTGACCAAATATGTATCGCTCTATGAGCATACACTTCATGACAGGAGTGTAGCATCCTCGAAGCATCGAAGATGAACGATGGTTTTATCGACGAATATCTATGGTCTTCAGTTCGAGTTGACTAAAGATTCACTGTCGCTGTGCTATGTGACCCTTGTATAAATGTAGTCCTGAAAAACGACTGTTTTTATTATGATTGAGTCCATAAGAAACTGTTGATGATGTGAAAACCATATATTAGTAGAAAGCCGATCGTTGCGTATTTTTAACGGGTCGCCTATACCAGGTAGTTGAGAACTTCGTTTAATTGAGCTTAATCGCTTGTAGGACGTACGACATCGGTGTTGCAATTATTACAATTCTCGTCAACTTCTAGAGGAGAATGATTTACAAGAACAACTTTTCTTCAATATAATTCAGTAAGGTCGAATTGGTTGTCTAAATTTATCCCTTTAGCCAACCAGAAAGATGTACCTGAAACCGTTGTCATCACAAATCTTGCCACCGAAATAGTGGACAATGGACTTTCAATTAGAGACAGCTCTCCCTTAAATCGAATATACCTACCGCAAACTAGTAACGTAATTATATATAGGTCATTAGGCATAGCTTAAGGGCGGTCCGACAATAGAGTCCGGTGATGGACAACAGAGCAAAAATTGTTTCAATACAATTTGAGTTTTGTGAATTCAGAAACAACATTTGCAGACGTGTTATTCACTCATATTGGATTTCTTTGGCCGCTAACGCTATGACATAATAACTTTTCCGTCCAAACTAACGAAATGTAGAAACTCTCAGTTAGTATCCTGAGGGTTATTGTTATGCGATTTGTATACGTGATCGGATCTGCCCACAGTGTTAGATGCGACAGAAGCGAATGAAGGACAAATATTTCGGAGCAAGTGACACAATTGGTAGTATGTTGTGTATTTTTATGTACAGAGGGTCTTCTAAAGTAACTTGCCTGAAAAAAGTTGCATTATTAGTTTTTTTTGGAAGTTGAATGTGTAACTATTTAATATCGGAGACGGTACCCGTAGATTTTTTCGAAAATACAAGAATAAGACACTGACATTTCTAGATCTTTCGCGCTGAATCTGTAGAAGAACTTCGATGTATATCTTTCAATGTAGAAAGGATCCTGGGAGCTTCACTCTGATGCTTACTAGCTTCATTATCTTTGTTTAATAGTTCATGCAAGGCAGCACCTTTGTTATCCAGAATATGCATCAAAACTGAATATGACGAAACCTGCTGCAAACAAAATCGTTGTGTTGTACAAGAACCCAAGCTGCTGAAGATAATTGAAATCATGTAACCATATGTGAGGAATTCAGTGACTCGTTCAGACCGACGAATATTTGTATTGAACTCAAACGGATGTCGTTGATGGCGCAAGCCCAGATGGTTAGGTCAATGTAAACATGTGTAGGTATCAAGTAATTCCTTACGCTGCTTCTTACGGAGTTCTTTCTGAGACCTTTGACAAGCTGTGGTAAATTTAAGGGGGCTTATTACATTTGCGTATCTTTTCATCGTATGCGTTATATAAGCAACAACATGGAATTTTTCGTGTGTCCCCGATGGACAGCTATGATGATATATGTTCTATCAAGCGTAAACCCGCCGACTTTTTGAAAAAGCAATAAAACCAAAGATCCGCTAACGTTTTAGCCGCACCCCTACCATTTCTGTTATGTTTCACATGTGTATGCATACATTACAGTTAGCCAACACCTGTTACTATGGCTGTATTGCTATCGTATCACGAAGGTGTGGAATCTTTCTTTTGGCGCCAATCGTTACTGTATTTTTCTGTTACCGGTACAATAGCTGTTGACTTACGAAGCAAAAGTCATAGCAAAGTGTCCCCGACACAGGTTACTTTTCGAAGTTGGACCACGACGAAAGCAAGTTCAGTTGGCCATGGTAGAACTATTGCAATGCCTTTTTTTTAGAACGAAGATGACTAAAATGAAGAAATAAAGCGGTATTTTTGCTACTACTACTACTACTGTCGATGTCCGCAGCTTCATCATGTGACATCGTTCAAGAGTAGTTATTGTTGCTGCCGAAGGAAGTTTGCTGCGAGCTACTATAACAGTTTCATAGGAAAGCACTGCTATGCCAAGAGCACAGCAAAACTCATGTACAAAGTTAGTTACGAAGCTTGACACTTATAGGAAAGCTGGACTTCGACAAATGACTGGCAGCACAACCAACAAAGTTTCAATAAGACTGCCACAGTCGTCTCGTCGTCATGGTCGGTTATCGGACAGCTCCCGCAATAACGGCTTGATAAAAAGCTATCAATTCACGCCGTGTCTCTCGAAGAACGTCTGAACAGTTAACTTCTCGAGTAGTAAAAGCTGCAGCCACAGCAGTAGATAAACTATTAATACCACTACAGCTATCGCTGAATATGGCTATGAAGCTAGAGGACCTCCATTCAGTCATAGCGAGTCAGGGAAAAGGGTCGTTGTGCTTCGGCCAATGTTCGAAGTTGTGCTTCGTAAATTGAAGTAACCAGTCAAGCTGGTGGACAATGCTCTATGGCTCATAATGGTATATAGCATACAGGAAATATTATAATATATAACAGATATTGTAGGAAGAGAACGATAACTGTCATCAGTGGTAACATGACACACAGCAGTGAAAAGAGCGAGCTTCTATTTTGGCAATCCTTGAAGTCATGTTTTTCGACCCTTGAACATCGGAACTTGTTAACTCATCAAACACTCTACTACCGAATAACAAAAAGAGAACTATTAAGGGCGGACCGGATAATTCATGTTCATGTAGTACGCCTGTTCCCATAATATCGCAGCGGTAACGTTTGAACCTATTAAATTCAGAAACTCGTGCAGGTCCAAATTCGAAACCAGGAGTAGACACACCTCGTTTTGCACTGAGAGCCAGCCGTCTGAACGCTTAACGACAGTATCGGACGTAAAACCCGAAATGTTTATATAGTAGGTATCATTTGTACGATACAGGTCATCTGTACACAGACATCGGTCTATAATGCCAAAAAAGGCGATTCCGTGAACTCGTTCACACCATAATGATAATAACCGAGGCGATAAAAAAAATGTCTGCATAGTACAAAGTAGTGTAGTTCCGGCGATTATGAATCGAGAGCCAGCTGCGTCCGAGGTGGCTATAGGCCCACGACATTAGAAACTACATTGAAATCCGATAGACTATTCACTGATAGCGTAAGAAACACCTGTGTATTTCACTAACTATATGTGCACATATATGTGTATGTACCCTATTGTTATCTATTTTTGTGGAAACATAATTTTCATAATAATAATAAGAGTTCACATCAAGAAATCACTTGTAATTTAATAATTTAGCTTCAATTTTTACACACGAGAAAATCGCTAGCCGGATATTAAATTGCATAGTACAGGCACTAAGGATTGTTCGATGAAAACGAGAGCGCTCGCGACACCAGTTTGCAAAGGTTATGTGACAACCGAGAATTGAATGAATAACATTGTACATATAGATTCCAAGCCTGTGGAATTCAAATTCCGTCCTGGTCTAAGCTTTATTTTCATTCATACCGGCGCTGCTACTGTCCTTCTAGCTGTACAGACTTTCAAGTTTTTAGCGACACTCTTTTCCCTTAATCACGGCCCCGTAGTCCATTATCTGTTAATCATAATAACAATATATATATATATGAGGAGACAAGGACTGATGAGACGAGAGCCACTGCTCTCTATATATATAATGTATAATATATATAGAGAGCAGTGGCTCTCGTCTCATCAGTCTTTGTCTCCTCGTTGTCCGGCAGTAACAGTAGCTGTGACTTTAATTGTGCTGGTCCTTTTTTGTATGCTCCTTGAATGCTTCTTCTCACTACGCAATGTCCTTCGTATTGCTTCCAAGCTTAATATCTGTAAGTTGCCTTAGTAACCGCTTTTCTAGACTTAGATTTGTTCGAACGTTCAGTCAGAAGTAGCAGCTGGCGAAAACCATTCCAAATGCTACAGACGAACCGTCTGTGCTGCCATCTGTGAGATACTGGCGGAAGCGACCACCAGGGTCTAGTAAAATTACAAAGAACCATGGCACCGTCCCTCACTGTTTCTGTAGTTTCTTTTATTGTGAGCTTCCCACTTCAGTGAACTTTAGCGATCACTTGTGTACGTCTCTATGTCTGATATAGGTGTGAAGAAGCATGTCAAAAGCAGTCCTAAGAAGAAAGCTTGTCATAGAACAATAAGTTTGTTTTAAAAATTCAGCCAAGTTGAATTGGGCAAAAAGGAACAATTATAATTTTCTAAATAATGGCTCCATAGACCGAAGTGCCACCGGCATCGATATATGCGAATATGGTTAGATATTTGTAAATAGTCCTTTTTTACAGACGTTAATCTAGTTTAGTAATGTTCTAGGGAAAGTGTTATGCACGAAATTATGCTTTGTACGGATCTTTACAGACCCGAAAGCTTCTTCCTTGAAAGAAAGTGGATTCCAGAGCTGAACGATTAATAATGGATCCCAATGTAAGTACTGTAAACATAACCTCGAATAATACACAGAATTACCTTGATGCAATTAAAATATTTCCTTGTAGTCGATTTGGTTTTCACTTACTGCCTATTTCATCATTTTCTCAACGGGTTCCGTAATTAAAAAATTACTAGAATGATGTAAATCTTACTCGGGCAGCTTTCGACAAAAGAAGTCGATGTCCAAACTAAACAGGTCCCTGCGAAAGGCAACGATTGTTCAAAAGACGTTGCGAACATTGTCGGAGAAGTGAGGAATCACCACGCTAATGTGAAAGCAGCGCAGCACAGCAAGGCCTTCTCAGGAACGGAGGAGTCAGTGCTCAAAGAGCTTGAGGTTTCAGGTGACCAACTGCCAGACAAAGATGAAGAGGTACGTCTTTTTTTCTTGAACGTAGTGGTTTTCTCATGTAATGTGTTGTGTCCATATTATTAATATTTGTATGCATTTGTGCAATAGGATACATTATCTTCGACTTGTTAGCTTTAAATGTTTATTTAGCAGGATACAACGGACGAAACTAAGAGAGATGAAGTCAATGACATCGAGCACATAAAGGCTGAAAACCTCGAGGAATTCATGTTAAGGCCAAAAAGAATTTCTCGATTGTCTTCAGTAAGTATTAAGGCATAATGTTCCGGACAGAATTGTTCTCTACTTAGGAACGATTGAGTGTCGCATAAGAACTCCCAATCAATGCAAGCGTATAAAACCCTTTTTTGATGAAAATACATAATATTAAAATTCCGTTTAATATATAAATATTAAAATTCGTTTACGTAATAACAGTTGTGAATGGACGCAGGTACTGGAAGCCTTTTCAGGAAAAAGGACCGAAATCCGTTTCGAAACATTTTGCTTTGTTAAGAAACCAAAAAGTCGAGATTTACTAAGACACAGCTCAGATCCGTTTGTTATAGAGGAAAAACGAGTCAGAAATATTACTTATTCTTAATACGAAAATCGATTCTCTTGAAGTGAGTTAGTCCTTCATATGCAAGATCTCACACCATGATATCGGTTTCTACAACTGACCTGGCCAAAATCAGCTCGGGTATAGGTACAGCATTCGCAAAAACAAAGCCAAATTTGATCATCTGCTTGTCTGCTATATTTTAGGCTGACAAACCTCCTGAGGATCCTAAATACAGCTTTTTATTTGACCCGGAACGCGACGGCAAGGCCCCCTATGCTAAAAAGGATAAAAACAGGGCAAATACTGCGTTTGGAAGATCATCAGGGGACAAGGATAATAGAAAACAAGGAAATGAAAATAAGGATCAGGATGCAAAGGAAGAAGGACGAAAAGAATACGGAAGATTTGAAAAGGGTTATAACCGAAGTGGCAAATACGGTAAGTTTCACCTCACTTAAAATGGACTATTCGTTTCAAATTGTATGGCTATGTTTGAATCACGAATGATACACCGATAAAGAAATTATACTGGAATCAAAACTTGTCCTTTATATTTTTATATATAATAGATACATATGATATCTGTGAAAGCTTAGATCAATTCAGCAAACAATTAAACAACAAAATCGTTCGCGTTTCAGTCTCTCGTATTCCGTCTGCTCGTCGCGCTGGTGGTGGCATAAGTAAACTTTCAGAAAGAGATTTGAGACACAAGATCGAGGCCCGCAGAGCATACGAGGATTTGGTGGTCGAGAGACGAACTTATTGTGAGCCTCGGGTCGATAGGCAAGGCATGCCCTTTAGTCGAAATTCACGTTACCGGAGTAATTATCCCACAACACATCAACGTAACAGGCGACTACCGCAAGGGTATTTACTCTTATCTTACTTTTTGCTAGACTGTAGGCAAACATGACGCGCAAGTCAATTCAGCTGAATATTCTTTGAGTTTTTCGCGTGCGTCATATACTACTAAAGCTTGGAATAATAATTATTTTTTTATTACCTTGCAGACCTGACAAGGATGGTAAATGGAGCCATCAGAAATTCTTCGAACTCTACGGCGAAGAACCCAAGTGTCCGCGAAGTGGAACTCGACCTCGAGGTAATCGAAATGGAAATCAACAACAACAGCACAAAAGGCCTCGAGATAACAACAATGGAGGCAGTGGCGGCAATGCTAGCGGGAGTTACAGCAGAGGCAATAATGAGAGTACCAACAACAGCAGTTACCATCAAGGAGACGGTGGTCAGAAAGGGGGGCACATGAACACAGGCAACAATAACAACAACCACAACAGTTCAGGGGGTGGCATCAAAGGCGATGGAAACGGCCATCAAAAAAAGAACAACTTACATTTTTTAGGTAAACGCAGTAACGATCAGAACTTTTGCGATGGGAATAACAGTAACAACAACAGCAATAGCCGATCCAATCGCAAACATAATAGCAGCGGCGGCAGACTGGAACATCAAAACGATGATGGTGAGTGCAAAAGGAAGATTAATGGGTAATAGTATCGTGCACCTGGCAACAGCCTTATCCAAAATTGCTATAAAGCTTGAAAAGCAACATGCAAATTTAGCTCGATTCATTTTTCTGCTTATTGATTTAGGAGCGGCACAAAAGAAGTAGTCTTTGTAAGACAAAAGCGCGCTCGTCTATTTTCTCTTTATAATGACGAATGTTTCGTGTTTGCGCTTTCCGTATGAACTCCATAAGTTTTTTGCTTGTAGTTGCTTTCTAATTTTACATAATGCGCCTAAGTTATTTTTAATATATGCTTTATGGACGAATATGCAAAGGCAAAGTTGGCTAAACTCAACCTAAATGCAATTCTGCTAACCGAATCTAGAAAAAAGGCCAAATTTATTGATACTACCTAGACTATACTTAGGCTCTTTTGGACGAAAAACCTTAATATTTCATGAAGATATGATTTTGCGTTCCGTATTCGTTGTAGTGTTTCATCTTACGAGTCCTTCAACATTACATAGTTGGAAATAAAAAAAATTAGTCACTGAAAATCATCTTTGTTCGCTTGCAGATGGCCATCGCGGATATCGAGGAGACTCGAGCCGTAGCAGTTTTCGAGGACGGGAACCATTCAGGAAGAATCATGATGCCAATAGCCATAGCAATAGTGTTATTAAGAAGGGCTATAGAAACCATAGCAATAAAAATAAGAACAACGGAGCTGCTAATCGAAATCATAATAGTGACAAGAGAGAAAAACTTCGATTTGCCGAAACTCGACTCGACCTGCTTCGTGCTTTGAATGAAGCCAATCAAATGATTAAGCACGTTGCCAATAGAGGGCCTCAGGTTTCAATAGTGGCTGCAAACTAGAAACAATGAACGTTACATGGTTTCTACTTGCGCGTTTTTTATGAGCAGTGTACAGATGATCTTTCGTCTGCTGCTTTTGCTCGTTACGTGAAAAAATATGATAGAACAAGTGTACTATTGAACGGTTCCAATGCAGCGGACTGAAATAGTTTTATGTATTACAATAGTGATGTGACATTTATCACTTTTCTTTACATTTGTAATAATGGGTCTGTGAAGTGTATGTAGGTTAGGTGTGAGTAAGAACAACAAACCCTGTAAACGTTGATCTAAACAAATTTCGTTATGTTTATACATCATTTTCGATTAACCGCACTCAGTCGTGCAGTGTTGTTCACTCTCATTTACGATTGCTAAACTTGTTAAGCTTTTTTTTTACCCATTCATTATTTAGCACAAGCATGTTTGTTGACAGATAAATATGTCTAGCACAAAAATCAGATAAACCCAAATGACCTCCAGAAGATGCTTTTCTACACTCACATATAATAATATACACAAGATGTATAGACATTATTTAGTGATATCTGACACATACTGACACACCGATTAGCCGAACCTCCAAGGAACTACATCGCGCAGTCATGTAGGAAGCTTTCAAAGCAAATCGAGCACCGTCACAAACTAGGTATCTCAAAGCTAAATTTGATTGGCTTTAAGATTAAAGACATTTAAAAAATATATATAATAATACAATGTTAATGAAAAATTATTATTATCGCTAGTATTGAAAAAGAAAGGTATTTATTAAATAATTTAACTTCTGACAGTCACTTACTATAAAAATCTATCAAAGGTACACAACAGTTCACAAGCATATATAGATCACACGCTGATGTTATAATGAACGTTTAAATTCCGCAATACTATATTCCGTTGCAAACTAAACAGATATTGTGACCAATAAGAGTTCGGCATTTCCGCCGACTTCTTAACTACGCTCACAACTAACTAACGCGTCTATCATAGTAATTTACGGGTGATTTTAGGAGATGTTGCCTATTCATGTTGCAGTGTTAGGGGTTGAGGTAAGGAATGTATTATGCAAACAAAAAAAAATGTACATGGAGTTAGTGCCGTACACCTATATAAATATATGATCATATTATAAATATATGTATTCTCACAGAAAATAGATCAAGTCGAGAGTAGACAACGTACTCAAGAAGATTTTCGCAGAAGGCCTCTTGCCCTACGAAAATTGACTGATTGTGTACACTACCAAAGTCATCAGAATGTGATGCTCCCGTACCAGTATTGCTTCCAATAGCAATCAGTTTTTTTTTTTACTTACAATGATTATATAATCGATATGGGAATCCAGTTTGAGTGCGTTACCGCAGCTGTAAACAACAAATAGGCAAATCGAACCCTCTTGTGTATCCATTAGGTATTACTATAATACAGGTTAATTTTTTTCTATTATCTTTGCAATTACCGTTACTCATGGAAAAGGGATATAACATAACTTAGAATGCATTGATATGGATATTGTGGCGTTGTTACTAATTAATGAGTTCTATCAACGTATAACGGGATGTACATGAGTTTACTTTTTTTGAATTATCTGCAATGACAACATTTTTAATTCTTTCTTCTTCCAGTAATTAGCCCCTTTCCCAAATGATAACATTTAAACGAATTCATTTTGCCCTATTCTAATAATAGGTTTTGAAATTAACAGAAGCAATGAATTTTCATACGCTCTGCACGCGCGCATCATACAAAAAATCGGGAAATTATTGTATATGTTTACACTGTCTTTATGACCCTCATATTTCGAAACAAAACGAAAGCAGGTTTTATGTTCATCCTGTGTATATATTGCGGTTCTCACACAAACCATGTCCGTCTATAAAAAGCAGTGAGATTTAAATAAAGTAGCCAGTTAATCCATTCCTCGTAACGAATTTACAGGTGTAATGACTTAAGTTAATCCTAAATACACAAGTATTGCGTGATTACACGGAAACACACAAAATCGCCATATGTTTTTTACAGATGAGGTGAGTCATCCGTTTGTTACATTCACATGGAAATAAAATACGTTAATGAAATTGGAAACTGATATAGCATGTAAAGTAAAATAGCTTGATAGAAAAGCATGCGGTTAGCCAGTAATTGTACATACTCTATGGGCATTAACCGAACAGACATCAGGTTTTCACCCTTCTACAGCTATCAACATGTGATACGCAAACGGTAGATACAAGAATATCTAAACGATGAGTACTAAAAAGATAATATATATTGGCTCCAACTAAAAACGAGAAAATGAAAAGTCATTTGTAGAATTAAGCATATACTCCAAGACGAACCGCCCGTTGCGCTTCGGCCCGTTAAACTGCTGAGAATAATGCGTTCATTCGAGGCGATTTAAATTCCACAAGCGGCGGCGATCGTCATCTGTAACGGTCCACTCTTCAGTATTCAAACCGAATTGCAAGCTGCAATATCCGTTACAGTTGCTCCTTCTGTGATAGGACTGACCGAGAAATAGCATCGCTGCATGTATAGTGACGAGAGACGCTTTATTTCAGTTGCCAATACCCAGTGCAATCCTGCTAACACTGAATATACGGGTCCTACAACTGAACTGGACATAATCAGTCGAATAAAGCTACGTAAACTCACTTCTGAGGACTGCGAACCAGTGCTAATATTTTTGCAATTGAAAAACAGATCTTTAGCGGTACTTCGAAATGAGCGTCCAACGCCGATCTGTGCATTTCGATGTACCCGAATCACCAATACCAGCTTTACAGAATGGTCCTCCTTCTTGCAATGAGAGCAATCCCCATCTCACAGCTGCTTGCAACAGCTGTAACGGAGTCGGCCAGGGCTGTCAGAAAACGCAAGGACAAGAAAACCAACAGCAACCTGCTCATAATCGGGTTCCACAGTGGGTGTTCCGCTGTCCAACGTGTCAAGCAGTGTTCACGCATTTTATTCTGCTATCGATTCATACTTGGTCACATTCGCCTCTGGACGTTAAGGTGCCTCCCATTGTTAAGCAAACACTTCCGTCTGATTTTGATCCGAAGCCACCGCGATGTTTTGTGTGCACTTTAAAGTTTTCCAACAAGGAGGCACTTCACGCACACACTCTTAACGCGCATCCTAATGGTGGCAGTGAAGGTAGCGGCGAATTTGAGTGTCCGTTCTGCGAAGTTCGCTTCGAAACATCAATCGAATTGATAACTCACATTGAGATTGGCAGTCATCCTTGGAAAGACGGAGATTTTTACCCGATTTACTCTGGGGTGCTGAAAAATCATGTACGTCATTTGCATCAGGCAGAGCTTGAGCAACTAATTGCCGATTTTAATATGCTGTGCGCCGAAGATAGTGTCCGCCAAACTTCACGTTCGGCAATCTGCTCTTCTGGAGAACATTTGGAGAGTCAACGAATGAAGCCTGCTCTACGAAAATCTACAGTTCTCAAGCCGGTCGTTTGTAATTATCAATGTGCGAAATGTGGTATCAGATTTGCTCATGGTAACCAGCTTAAGGCTCACGTGGATCTTAAACATCGCGGCTTGATGAGCTCCATCAAACCTCGTTTACTGCATAGCTGTGTTTACTGTAAGGACAAATTTAAGACATTGACAGCTCTCCGAAAACACCTTGATTGCGACCATTTCGTAAAGACGACCCCTGCTCGAATCGCCGCCCTTCCATCATCCTGCGATCCGGAAAACTTCAGCGATCTTTTGCTACGGCGAAGGATTGCGCTCGATTTTGAAAATTACTAATTCGATTGGTTCTGTTGCATTGTAGTTAGTTCCTAGAAAACACCAGAGTTTCACAAAGGTCGTTGATATCTGTAAGTATAGTTGTTTCTGAAAGTAATTGTGATTCCATGGAGTGAACTGGTTCAATCAAAAAGGCAAACCTCGTAACTACCTAGAAGCATCCTGGATGTGACGAAGAAGAAAAACATTAGATGAAGCATGTTTCAAATAACTTTACACATCTTTTCTAGCCGGATAAATTATGATTCAACTTACTTAACACTAACAACAACTTTTACAATATTCTTTATTAATTAATAATTAATTATGGGAAGTTCATAGATTATGTCGTACAGAATGTATACATAAGTAGAAATAGTCCGTCCATACGTTTTCTTAATGTAGATGAAAGTGCTTCACGGCTTGTGTGTCACAACTGACGGAACATTTTATTCATGTACGGTGTACCTGTTACGGTATTCATACGTAGAGTCTTAAGTTCGAGAAACAAATCACGAATATAGAGACAATTGTTTTGTTTGCTCGCAAAAAAATGAATGGGAAAACTTTACAGCCAACTTTTGTTCCTATTTCTAACATTACCCGAAATTATCCATGGTAAGAACGCCTTTCGACGGTTAGTTATATTTATCGATAAATTATATCTTTGAGCATATATACATGTGTGTACGTATTTAGCAGAAAGGCCTGTGCTTAGTGTATGCGATTACAACGACCCGGTGTGTTATCTTAATAAAGGTAATTAATATAAATAAAACACTAAACAAACTGTGGTGCTTTTCTATTCAACTAAAATTTACGATTAGCCCGTAACAACGATGAGTGCAACTGTCCTCGATACAAATGTTGTTTTGGCAATAATCATTTATTATAAGCAGACACACATAGAAATCTTTATCGAATCCACATCGCAATGACACTGAGTAAAATGCACGCTTTTATGTAAGTATGTATGTGCTCCGCTTTCTTTGTACGCTGGATAGCTTCTATTTAATAACAGATGTGGAGTCGATTCCCTTTAAAATCACTACTGAACCAACTGGCTGGAAGGAAGAACAACCATGTTGTCACATAGGAGACTCTTAAAGGATATTACTGATTTCTTCAAAAGGCTCGTCTTTATTGAAAACAGAATTGTAAAATAAGCGAAATGAGGAAGCTTTGTATCTGCATTAAGCGAATCACTGATGTGTAGATTACCGTCAAATTACTTGAGCCGAAATCAAGATCCATTCGTTTTTTTGCTCGGGTTTTATTGCTAAATCTGTGTAAATAAATTCAACTGCTGTGGATTCTCCTTAAAACGGCAGGCTTGAGTCGAAGCTGACATATTCGCCTTGTTAAATCAGAATGAGAAATTTTTGTACTACAGTGTAATCCTTTTAAAATAGCTGCTTCCATTGATTGAACTGAATTGCCAGTCTATGCACGCAGGTAGCCGTGCTGTTAAACACGTGTTTCCAGCTGATAAGACAGAAAAAAACGAACTTGAACACTGGTCTGAGTTGGATATAACGTCATACAGAAGACCTCGTTCTATATTTTTTCCAACCTTTCCGGTCCATCGCCCTTTATGTATATCGCAAATATGTATGATGCACTTGCAACCAGATGTTATTCGCTTCCCCTCGAGCTTTATGTTTCTATGAAACTCTATGAAGAGACGGCTTGTAAACTGCAGCCTGCTTTCACCAAGGCACATTCCTTTCACTCTCCTTATCGGAAAGGATATCTGGAGAGTCGTCAAAGCGCCAGCAGCTAATCCGGCAGATTTTCCCCACGCGTGACGACTGTGCGGACTGACAGCGACGACCCAAACCGTACCGAATAGATCGATATGCCTTCTGTCTCGAGCCACATCCTCTCTCTTCACTTTGATAAACCAGGCATCTCGCGACTTCTGCCTCGAAGAGGTAAAACTCCTGCGTCGTTTTGGTTTGCATTACCGTCAGCAACGGCACACTGCATTGCCCCATTGAACTTGTTTGCTTATGGGTGTCAGCTGTGGTTATCTTGTCACGAATTAACGGTGTCGTTTCCCATTTACGGCTGTTTTGGTGGTCATCTTTGGGTATATTATCATTGTTTCGTGCTTTGGACACTGCTTACTTCGCGATACACACAGCGATTTAGCCAAGTAAGCGTACATGTAGGAAATTAGTGATCTGCTCTCTGTTACGCAAAATGCGACGATATAAATTTACTGACTAGATATTTGTACATTGTTTTGGCAATTTTCTCCCCTGCAATGCACATATATAGACTCTCCGAATGAACAGAACTTACTAGAAAAGAGCCAGGCTAATGGATAGATAAAAATTTACTTTGAAAAAATCAGCTTGAGCTGCTTTTTTAGATTATATATATATAATAAATTGGCTTATTGAACCTTTTAAGAGGAAAACACAGCGAAACATAAGTGAGGTAGATGGCGGTTCCTACCCAGCATATACTACCTAAGCAGGCGCATTGGATCAAAGATAAAAGAAATATGCAATTCAGAAACATGGAAGGAACCCACGACTGATATTAGAACATTGGAAATTATCCAATGTTCTAATATCAGTCGCGCATGTATAGTAATATATGACGCACCGATACGTGTCTGTTTGTTTTATTTTGATCCTTTCATTTATTCTATTTACTAATTATATTGATTTTATTTTTAGAAAAACCAATCACCGACGCGACCGATTTATATTAATATAAGTATCCATAATTTTCAAAACGCTTAAAAAGATAGGCACTCTTTTATAAATTGGTCTCATGTAGTTGTTGACTGGTTTTGTGATGCGCAGACATTGTTCATAGTCTAATGTGACTGTAATTGATTAGTAACCGAAAAAACTCATAGCTAAATATATATACAGTAGCCTATAGCTAAATAAAAATATATATACAGCCGGAAAAGTTACTCGCAATTTTCTTTTTTCTGTTTTATATTTTGCTAAAATATCTTACAACTTTTAAAAAATCTTACAGGTCTAAATTATGCATCGAGGTTTATGAAATTTGTTTTGAGTAGCGAAACTCTTCTGCAAGGTATGACATTGTCGAACTAGTAAACCTTTGGAGGTAAGACTCTTTAAAGGAATACTGGCTTAATTTTTTTGTAGTCTCTATAAAATGACATCCGATAGAATCAAACAGAAGAGCAATCAGCAAACACTCGCAAGGGGCTTAACTTAGACTGAAGTATTTCAGATCACTTCCTTTGGCAAGCCATAGTTGCTATCCTAAATGCCAGTAACGAGAAGCCGGGAATGCTTTTAATATCTCGTCATCAAGTAGCATATGGCAATTCATTTGTCCCATAGATAATTTATTGTGGAAGCGAACGCAATGGAGTTGTGTGCTTTGATGATAATAGCAGGTTGGATAGCGTGCAAAGGGGATTCCATCTAGATCAGTAGTAAGGCACGGAAACGCGCGTAAGAATGGTGATATTACAATTGGATACCCGACAAGAGTAAAACGCCACCTTACTATATAACGACGCCTTTGTGCCTACAAGTCTGATTACACTGGACGATGCGTTAGAGTATGTACGATATATAGAGTGCAGTACCAGCGATTTATGTTTCGCCGTGCTATTTATCCACAACAGACGCGATGCACAGTTTATTGTACCGTTGCAGTTCCTAACTTGAGCGCATTTCCTAAAGTTTCACGAAGGAGCACTGCAGTTAAGTAGCTTCAGTACACTTAATTTTAAAACGTTGTCACCGTTATTTGTAAAAAGACGAGAACTAATTTTCCCGTGAATCTTCGGGCTAGCACATGTACCTGCTGGTCTGCTAATAAGCGATGCTTGACGAAAAGGTTTTTTGCGGTGTTCTTTAAATGGGACAGGGAGAATGAATAAATTCCGTTTACAACGCAAGTACAAATGTTTTAGGCGATTATTAATGTAAAGCACGTCTATTTGAATAGATATTGCTCTGATACGTCTCCAGACAAATAGTCTTTAGCTTGAGGCTGATTCAGGGAGAAGATATAAGATCAAATATAGGTATGATTACTTTCTATATAAATTTTCTAGTCAGACGTGATATAATGGTACCTGGCTAGAAAGAAGTAAATAAGGTACATCGCTGATAAGTCGGCTTTCTAAAAGTGGCAGTGATAAAGAGGGTTAGCCCGCTTATGTAATCATCGTTTTTTCGTCCTTGGACTAGTAAATGAAAGCATATGGCTTTAATATCGAAGTGTTTTCAAAAAATGAAAACATTACTAAATTTATAAAGAACGCTAGGACAATATTATATCTTTATCGTTTTATTTTTTATGCTACACATTTACATGTCCACTATCTTAGATAACACGGGGATGTCTTTTACGTTACGAAACCAATTATTTGAAACGTGGTGATCGCAAAGTGCCAACGGCGGCCAGAATTGCGAATAACTCCAAACAGCAAAAAAGGTATTTTCGCCAGCAATGATACTATCTGGCAGACATCGCTCTAGTAGTATGTTAAGGCGTAGAAAAGCGAAACGTCCATTTGCAAGGCTTGCAAAAGTATCTAGACAGCGTCTGACCCATCCGTGCTATTTTTGCACGTGTGTTACCGTATGTAAAGTTATAAATTATTCCAGATCCCTAACCTTACTGGCCAGGCCGCTGAGAGTATCTAGCTTTGTACGAACACCCTTGTCTTACTGATGACGTTGCGAGTAGAGTTCGATCGCGAACGCAATCCCGTACGAACGTATCTGCGTATGCACGTACATGTGAAAGCCAACAATTTTTGGGTTAAAATCGCGGCTACAATTAAGAGCTCATGGCGTGGCAATATATTTAATCGTAAGTTATAGGATGATCACAAAATAACTAGGTAGCGAAATTAACTTTCTAGGATAAAAAGATTAACCTAATGCGAGCTACGCTACACAGTGGATCTAGCCAAACGACACGCTGTCTTTAGGGACTCCCGCCGAACGTACGTACTGAATGTAGAACGGCTTCGTCTCAGATGCGGCTAATGTGCTTTTTGCCTTACGCGCGTACTAAATTAGCACTCTATGATTCTGCTTGATCTGGTCTGGCGTGCACTTTTGCAAATGGAATTTTCTTTGAATTCATCTTCTTTGAAACGTCTTCTACGTTTGTTGAAGCACAGGATAAGCTGAGACAAAAGATTGTCACAAACGAAAAGAAAAATAAGCTCTGTTTCTATAGAGGGTAGGACCAGGTAACAATGCAAACTTTCCTCCCTAATTTAGGCTAACCCCTAAACGGTCATAAATTTTAAGCTTACACAGCTTTTCTAAAGAAGGTTTCTCTTCGTTAATTTGTTAACTCATCCATGAATGTAAATTTCAGCGTTCCCGTACATGGAGGAAACGAGACATCACCCACGCATATGGCTGGCGATGGGAAAACTCCAAAAAAGTCAAGCTGCTTGTTTCGAATCGCCGAACAGCGAAAATCCTGGAACATGCCACGTGCCAGAGGAGTGTGGTTTAGAGTACAAACTCTGTTGCCTGCAATGAACGTGTTATTATTAATGCTATCAACTATGAATAACTGTATGCCAACGTCCTGACTAGCCGCATTCAAATGTCTTCTTCCACTCAACTGGCTCCCTTTCTCAGACACTCCAGTCGGCTAACGGCATGAGCCATCTAACGTCGTAGCTGAATCGAATAACGGAGCGCAATTCTTTAAAAATAATTTGGTAATAACAGTTAAATAGAGTTTTCAAACCCGATGATTTAGTTCCTATAAAAAAAAAAACAGTGAAGGTACCGTATATTGTAAAGCTCTAGTAAAATTATTGTCTCCTATATAAATTCGTTCGCTCTATCTTAACATGTAAAATATTCACCCTTATTGTGAACAGTTATAGAATATGACGGTTAGCTTCTATAGGGAGAGATAATCGCAAATAAGCCTGTGATAATAATTACTTGTAACAGTTCCTGTAACATTAATTCATCATAATAAAATAATGAATTTCAATAATTGAAAACGTAATAACTTCTGATCACCATGTGCGTACAGCTTTTTTTGTTATAATCTTCTGAAATGCATGTTCCACATAGCATGAGCTTGACAGTTTATCAAAATTATTCTTATGTTATCTGGTAGGAGAGACTCTTTTCTTCACAGATTGTGTCTATTACAGTTTCACTATTCACAAGTAGAGCTGCCTGGCTTAGCATTATCCAAGCTCTCTCCTTTTTTGTTTTTATTTTTCGTACTGTTCACCGAAAATTTCTCCTCCTGTTAACCTTTACCGGACGATTAGGTTGCGTTACGTAGGCTGTTGCTGCTACCTTTCTTTTGGAACACAGTGGATCACACGTTTTTATTTAAGTAAGTCGACAAGATCCGAAGAGTGGTTGCTGCAACGGCTTGGGTCCGGCTCTGCAAGCATTACGTTTGGCATTAACATCAACGAACGACTTCAGCAGGAACTGGAATCCTGGTCGAACGGCTATGCCGACGGACGCATGGCATCGGGCAGAGGGTCCAGCTCAGCCGGATATAAAACTAACGAAGTTGCGAATATTGCTGAAGAATAATGAAGTTGCTCTGAGGAGTCACCGTGGCTATAGCCATTGCACAGCTACGGCCTTTACCGCTCCCTACTTTCACATACTTTGCTGTGGAGTGGTCGCCTGCGAACTACGGACATCCCTAGGAGGTAAGGAAAAATTTTGACCCTTTTTGAGGAGCTTACGGTTTGCGCCCGGTGCCGGTCGAGTCTGCCCAACTCAATTATATAGTACTGAGAGGGTTCCTTAGAACAAAGGCGCATTTGACAGAACGAATATGGACGGGTTTGCGTGTATGTTGTGGAAAATGGAGGAGCGGCGCTCGTATGCGCGACTACTAGTTATTTGCATGAACCTGCCTCTTTAGTATATTTCTTGTCACAGGATATGTGGAGTAAATAGTAATGCACGGCGCTCCTCGAAGCTTACGATGCTAACATTACATCCAGACCCTAAAGACCGCACATGGGAATGATGAAACAACCCAAACGGACACGAGCAATTTGATCGGAAAATTCCTTTAGCTTCCTGTCCGCTGACACGCCAGCTCAATTCGGACTGCGCCGAATGCGGTGTCACGTGCATGTACAATATAGATACAAAGATCAGCATTTTTTGACATTTTAGTTTCAGGCTCAGCATAAACATTCGTATTTGTTTATTTAATATATTCAATTTCGATTTGTACGTGCCTCGAGGGACAGAGTATATTCAGTACTGGATTCAGCGTGCTTCTTAATTTAGTCATAAATTCGATTGGATCATTGGCTTTTCGATAATATTTTTATGCGGCTTATTACGATGTATTCTAGGTTAGGCTGCATTTGATCAGATCAGTGTATAATTCTTAATAAAACTATGAGTCGACAATTTGCTAGGTTTTTAATAGCAGCGCTCATAACAGACCTTTCATAAAAGTACATCCCATATCTTTGTCCTTGTTTACTTATCATCTTCACGTTCACGTCTTCGCCAGTGAGCTGATATTAAATGAATCGTCGTTCCTTAAGATACAAAACCTTAGATTTCGATTTATGAATATGTAGTTCTTCTAAATACTATGTTTATTTTTGCTTCGACGACTTAGTATGGCTAGTAGGCCACGAGGTGTATGGACCTCGTGAGGTTTCATATGTGTCTGCACATATCGATAAACGCTGCGCATATAAAATATACACTATGAAAGCGCCACGAATCCCTACCGATAATGAACTCCGCTTCAGATCGGTACACTCCACCTCTTTTCAGATCGGACGACGGAGTAACATCCTGCAACTACTGTAAAGTTAATAGCTAACTGGTAATATACGGTCCTAGTTGACAGTAGTTAAAGGGAACCTAGGGTCGGTACTTAGAGGTACGCTTCTGATAATCTGTCAGCATAATCTAATCGTTGGATACCAACTGCGTTTAAACATTGCATTCCGAGTACAGGCAGAAACTGACTTCGCTGTACGGCGTGTGCGTACATATATAGGAGATCGCAAAGTGCGCAGGGAGTAAACCGCACTATAACCAGGGCATATTTAAACTCTGTTTATTTTGTAGTGTAGTTGTCTGGGTTGTTTTAAATCAACCCGTTATTGACCAAGTTGATCCGTACGCTGCTTAACAAAGCGGATGAAAACATTCTGGTTGCTACAAGGCCAAAGCCGCGCACTTCAAGGATTCCACAGTGGCGTCCGGAAATACTCCAGAGATTTCGAAAATGAAACGTTCCAGACCAAAGGCCGATCAAGAAAAATAATACGCTTGGATAATAGCAGCCAACTCCGCTTGTGGCTATTATCAGAGAATATTAGGTAGGATTTTGAACGTTTCGCAGCATGTATTTAAGAGCTGAAAAAGTCGTCTTTAACTGTAAAGTATAGGCACCACTTGAACGCTTCTGCCAGCATCAACAACCGTGGCCACAATAGCAGCCGTATAATGAATGATTATGTGTTGTGTACGTTATGCATTATTGATGTGCTTCTACGTATTAGTTTGTTGTGTTATTTCTACTTTTTCGTTCCTGTTCAGTATAATCAGTGCAGAGAGATCATTTTTGTTCTTCTTCGATGACTTCCAGGATAGCGGTTGTTATGGCCAAGCAGACGAGACTTGATTTATTTCATTCACAAGCCGGCGAAATTCATTGGAAAAATCTGCCAAAACAGTAAACAACAAGTAATAACTGTTGTGCAAAGAAGATAAAACCACTTGTTGCACATTTCGTCTCAAATCATAGCCGTGCGGCTAAAGGGAGCGGAGACAGCTAGGTCGACCACTGTTAATTAATGGCGTACCGGCAACGAGGGTGGCAGAACGCATACAGGTGTTCATGCTAGTCAAAGATCCATTACAGAATGTCGCTAGATCTCTGGACACGTTCCTGCCCTAGTGCGGCTATGCCATTAAGCTGGACGGCCGCCGCCGCTGTTCCAAACCGACGTGCTGTTTCCACGTCGTCAGTGTCGCTTTCTAAAAGTATTCAAGGTCCTTTTCAGGCAACTGGCCCTAGAGTTCGTTTGCAATAGCGTGAAATCATTGTCTTGCGTGATTCTCTCGTTCGATATTGTTTTTGGGAAGGGGAAACGAACCGCGCTGACGTGTTGCGGGTTAGAAAGAGCTAACAGCAGAAGATAGCATTTAAGAATCTTTGTTGATTTCTGCGTGTCGCAAATACGATCCGGCCAAATGGAGCCTCACAAGAGCTCGACGCCCAGCCGACAAAAGGACCGAAATTCGTGATGGGGGGGGGGGGGTTGAGAGGGACGCAAAAGTGGTCACGTTTCTGAGAACAGGAAAGTGGCATAAAAAAGCGAGGGAAAAAGAGAACGCTATTCACTGGATGGTGGCCATTAAAGCACTAATTAACGAAAGCAAAATTGCCGCAACACGTTGAATCTGCGATCGTTAATGAGCAAAGCGCATAATAGCGGCGGTGGAAGAAGCAACGTGATTCCGTTGCCGAGTGTCGACTAGCAGTGACTTAGCGGAATCCCTAAACGAAGCGGAAATGACCGATTAGGAACAGACACTGAAGATATAACTGGAACGGGCAGATTGGGACGTGCGTTCTAACAGAAATACGATGTGAATTTGTTTTATGTCTCTCTCTATATTTAGTCAACAGGAAAAAACGGGTTGTTATTATTGTTTTCTTTTATCGTTTCACGTCGAAGACGATAACAGAAATGGCAAAAAGGATAGAAATTGTAAACCGTCCGCTTATATGAGGATGCTGGCTTGGTAAGTGTATTGATCTGACCTCGTTTTGAAAAATCGATATGAGATGTATTTTTATGTGCGTATATTATGCTTTGGATTCAAGAGGAATTTTCCATAAGAATGATTAGGTTATCGATATATCCAGTGAAACAGCTTGTGAGGTTGTCACTTAATTAAATAAATTAACAAAGCACATAGATCCGTCGATGAGCCAGTTTGTTGGGGCCTGAAGGGGAAAAGTACAAAATTGTAGATGACGTTTGATCATTATTCTAAAAAACACCTATATATCCAAATATATGTATATGTGTGTGTTCGGAGATCGTACACCTATCGATAATGCACGTTTTAGTGAAGCCAGTACTTGTAGTATGCTTAAAATACTTTCCTAGTAAATTAAAGATATGTACCCATCACCACACACTAAACGCATAATAACATGATCCTTGCGGGGAGCTGAGGGGTTCAATCTTTGATGATCGTACCAATTGCTACTGTATAACTGCATCACATTTAAACGATTTACCAAAACCAGGTATAACAATACTTATGCGCTCATGGTAAAAACGTCATAGATTTTTCTTTCGTGTTTTCATACGTCAAAACGACGCACTCACCTTTTTCTGTGATGTACCCTTTTGTACAACATGATTTTATTGTTAACAACACAGTTGACCGAAACATATTTCTCTTACAGAATAACTTTTAAAGCACAATTCGCTTACCTAGTTTGCTGAAGTAACGAAAAGAAAATTTGCCACGTTTTAATATAACCATAATTCTAACTCACACATGAACCGTAAGGCAGTCTCCTGAAGAAGGTTTTAGTATAATAGTTCTAATCGGGTTTGGCCTTTCGAATGCGAGTGAATTGATCGCTATGGGGGCCGCACCCGCGATTCAAGTCTTCTGAGACCTTAGAATTGCTACATATATACGTGAGAGTGTGAACTCAGTGACGAAAAAATTGCACTCTTTCGAAAGCGTTTCACAAGGCTTATCTCTGAGTCACTTATTTACTTGTCACTATAAATTTGCGATATCACTCAGTGCACTGTATATTATATTGTTAGACGACAGAGTAGGCGCCCTCTGCCCTTTGCAACAAATATTTGCTTGACTCCGAACTCAAGCTGCAGCACTTTGTTCGAAAGAAGATGGAAAACCAGGCCGAGCATTTTGACATATAATGGCGTTTCATCTGTGGGAAGAAGCAAGGATGGCACATCTGGCCAACAAAATACGTAATGCGAATGTGTCTTTGGCAATTATCAGATGCTTAGCTGTCAAATTTTTCTTAAAGGGCAAAAAACTTGGAGCTTAAGTCAACCACAATCCAGAGAACTTTATTGTAGTACACGAAACCAGCCGGGTCCATCTGTATA